CAGCTGCAAGTGCTTTGGCAGATTGTGCATGCTCCCATGCACCCATGCTCCCTGATCCAATATCAGATGGAGTTGGATCAAGGAAAGGGAGCTGTGAGAACCCGGAGGGGGGGACAATGATTGCGAAACATTTCGGGGTTATTGCATAGGGAGAGCGGTTGTAGCGTGAATGATAATTCACAGAGCACAGGACTGCACTTGATGGAAAAGGAAGCAGCTCAGGTGCGCCTGAGAGGCCGAGGTAGAGGAGGTGGCAGTGGAGGGGGGGAAATCAGGCAGTGGGGTGGGTGGGTGCGGCTGTGGAAATTGCAACCCCATCTTTTGAGCAGTACAAACTACATGGTGCTGACCAATAAGGTGGTGCTGCTGCTGCGACTGCTCCATGTGCAGCTGGCATACCAGCTGGCTGCCAGCCACGTCTGTTTGATTTGAGAAAATCCAGCAATAGCATACGGTCTGGGAGCGAGCAGCGATGGTGCCACTGCCAGATGGGCCTGTTTCAGCTCAGCTGCCACCCACGCTGCTGCTGCTGCGGCGGCTGCTGCTGCTACTGCCAAATCTGTTCCCCACCACCCTCCTCCATCCTCATGGTCTCTTGTTTTCTCATGCCACAGCAGTAGTAGATGTAATGTACTCAGATGGGGATGGTGGGAAAAAGACATGACGTAGCCTCTGCAACAGCAGGAGGAGGATCAGGAGCATCAGCAGCAGCGATAGCAGCAGCAGCAGCGGCAGACATAGCAGCAGCATCAGCGGCAGACATAGCAGCAGCAAAGGAACTACCGTTGCAAATACTGCCCATTAGTGAATGTCTTGGGGGGAGGCGATGAGACGAGAGAGGAGGTCAAGCCACGAGATTGCATAGATGAGGGATATGGTACACACACAGTAATCAATGAGATGAACGTGATCAGGTTTACTTGGAAGAAGTGCTGCAGGAGATAGCTGATACGGGCGAAGCACAGCGGTTACTGGCATTAGCAGCAAGAGCAGCAGCAGTAGGAGCTGCAGAGGCAGCAGAGGCAGTGAGAGGTGTATGGCCCGTGGGTGGGGTAGGCGGAGAGACGGAGGAACTCCTGCTCACCCATCTCTCTCCCTCCACACCTCACATGCTCCCTCACCACCCCCACCGTTGACAGCAAAAGGCAACCAACCACACACCTACTCTCGTCCCCAGTGCTCGGCAGCGATGATGGCCGCTTCGGAGCCAAGGCAATCAAGCACCAATCAATGTGAAAGCTGCAATTCCAACGCATCCCCATACACTCCCTCCCTCACTCCGCCGCCTTGACTCGTCCCATGCCCCCTCTCTTGTTACCCTGCCAGCATCTGCTGTCCCGTTCGCATCATCTCCTGCTCACGAACGCCAGACCCCGCTTACTCATCTGTTCTTCCTGCCCTTCCTGCCCTGCTCTCACTTGTTGCTCTGTTGCCTATTTAGCAGCGCTGGCATCTGCCACGTCACCCACTGTAAAGCTCATTCTGCAATCAGTCTTCACCTCAGTGGTGCCACTGCCGCCGCCACGTGGCAGGCCTAGGAGCTGCCACGCCGGCCGCTGAAGCTCAGTGGTGGCGGGTGTCAGAGAGGGTGAATCGGGCAAGAGGTGGGCAGGTGGAGGAGGTGGGAGAGGAAGTGCAGGAGGGGGGTGAGGGCTTGCATGGTGGCGTTGGCGTAACACATGTGAAGTGTATCGCATGTGCTGTTGAGGAGACTGATGGCGGGGCGGAACAGAAGGCAGAAAACGGTCGAAAGGAAGGGGGAAAGAAAGGGGAAATGAATGGGGAAAGGAGGGGGGGAAGGAGGGGGGAAGGAGGGGGAAAGGATGGGGGAAGGAGGGGGGAAGGAGGGGGGAAAGGAGGGGGGGAAGGAGGGGGGAAGGATGGGGGAAGGAGGGGGGAAGGAGGGGGGAAAGGAGGGGGGGAAGGAGGGGGGGGAAGGAGGGGGGGAAGGAAGGGGAAAGGAAGGGGGAAAGGAGGGAAAGGAGGGGGGAAGGAGGCCCGAGAAGGAACGGGGAAGGATAGTTAACATGATTGAGAAGCACGAGTGGGAGGAGGACACGGGAGGGCGAGGAAAAGGGAGATGGGAGGGAGGGCGAGCGAGAGTGGGAGGAGGAAACATGAGGGTTGATAGCGAACGATGAAACCAGGAGGGAGAAACGGAGGGTGAGGGTGAAAATGACCAAGGGGGAGGGGAAGAGGCAGGCGACGAGAGTTGCACAACTGCAGTGCAGGGTTACTGGAAGCGAAGGGAAGAAGAGGGGGTAAAGTATGGAGGTAAGGTAGCAACACAGCTCGTCGCTGCAGATGAAGAGACACAAGCAGCAGCAGCAGCAGCAGCAGCAGCAGCACCAGCAGCCGCGCCACCTGTTTCCTGTCCCTGTCTCCCCACCCATATTCTCGCCTTGCACGGGCCCTGCCTGCCCCCGCTGCTGGCCCACCTGCGGCAGCACGTAGCTTCGCTGCACCTTCTCCAGCCACTTGTCAGCTCCGATCGCCCCATTGCTGTCCCCAGTCCACACCACATCAGCATCCAGCTGCAGCCAGCGCTTCGGCTGCTGTTGCTGTTGTTGCTACTTCGCCATACATCTGCAACCGTGGCGGCATGGAAAGGCGGAAGCGTAACGGGGAGGAGAGAGGACGGGGGGTGAATAGTAAAGGTGGGCACAGCGCACGCACATGAGTCTTGTGGCAGATGGTACATCTGCAGGGAAGGCAGTAAGGTGCATTGAGTCAGTGTGCAGACGGCAAGGAGCAATGTGACACGTATGTGGGCAGCGGACTTAGCGAGAGCTGTTTCGCCCGGTGCTTCAAGCCTTGCGCTGTTACCCTTTGAGCCTCACGTGTATGGTGGGGATGCGGAGAGTCGGGAAGCGCATCACAGGGAGTGGGGCCGCTTACATTAGAATCTCAAAGGTTGAGCATGTGAGCGGAGGTGGTGAGTGTAAAGGTCGTTGCACGACACGACAGCACGTGCGGAACGAAGGAAGCGAGAAAGATGAATGGCGCCCGAAAGTGCGATGTGAAGAGTGAGATAGACACGAGGAAGCGAGCTGAAGGGAATGAACGAGGGGCGGAAGAGGGGCGGAAAAGGTGCGAGAGGAGCAGCATGGTGATGGGGTGGTTATGCTGCTGTGGCCGACTCACCATTGCCACGGCAGAGGCTTCGCCGGACAGCTGTCGCTTCAGCCTCGAGGCTGTGCCCTGTTGCGACTCTCGACAAAAAGCTCCGTCATCTATCCTCTTGCACTCCACTCGTCCCTTTCCCCATCCTTCCGCTGCTTGTGTTACTTCCCCTGTCGTCGCATCCGCTCCCTCACTCGCTCATGCTCCTGCTGCTGCTCGCTCTGCATCACCAAGCGCGCCTTGCCTTGCCTCGACATGCTTGTAACGCGCACGGTGCTGGTTTGCGTCCAAGAAATTGTGGCATTTCGCAAATGCGACGCGTTTCGAGGGCCCGTCGTAGAATTGTCTAGGAGAGGTGGAGCGGTAACTGAAAGAGAACAAAACCATGCGCTTCGGTAACTGCATCATCGGAGGTGCTTGACCTGAATCTTCTCTATGAAACGGGATGCGTTATCAACTCGGAGAGCAGCTACGAGTAGATATAACGCGCAGCTTGCTCTTGAGAGAAATTCGTTCGCGCGAATCGCAACCACGCCGCTCATCGTATTTGGCGCATTTCAGCAGCAGCTGGTACGCTGAGTCCGACGTGGACAGCTTGTTCTTTACACCGACGACTCGAGGTCGAGCTGCGAGGAGCGTACGGACCAGCTGCGTCTCACGCACCGTATCAGTTTCCTCAGCTGCTTCCACGCCATCGTCGCCTCCCTACTGCACGAGCGCTGCCTCGCTCGAGTACTCGGCGGTTCCTCGCGGTGCCTGGCTGCCTCGCACGCCAGACAGCAGTCGGGCAGATGATGCGATTGGACCAATGTTGACGACCAATCGGGGAGGCTCCTCCGGAGAGGCAGCGACGAGGACGTCAACGTGGGACGATACCAATGGCTTATCGCCACATCTGCTATGATAGTTGTCGGATCCGTGGGGTATCAATCCTTGGGAATTCGATACCGAATTTTAAAGGCCATACCCGCGCCGCTCCGCGTATATGAAACCATCTTTGCTCCTTTCTCTGCCGAAGGACTGTCGTCTGGCAATCTCCATGGATAATAGTAGCTACGAAAACAAAATCCTACGATAGAAGCTATTGCATCCAACTCAGGGTAATCTGGTTCCACCACCAGGAGGGTTGGACTCAGGTTCGATTCGCTCTGAATTAATACCTTCCACACGACGAAGTTCAGCTCGCTCGTTTCGCTCGCTCGTTTCGCTCGCTCGTGCCAGCTAAACCTTCGACGAGATAGTTGTTACCAATGTTATGCCCGTTTCATTGACACTATGTGCAGTGTTTTGTTCGCTAAAGAAACGAACTGAATGCATAGAGAAATCGAACGCGACCCCAGTATTGCATAATCTCAAGGCAGCAACCACAGTTACAGTTTTTGGCGAAAAAATCATTGGAGCTCCTTTCGTCTGGTCAAATCTCAAGCTCCTCCGACAGTGGATATGTGAAGTGCTCACCAGCGTTGACAAAGGGAGAACGTAAATGGAATTCGCTTAGCACGTAGCTCAACCGGTATGTATACTTGATTGAGCGTTTGTAAACGTACAGCACCTGATCCAGCCACCACCCTTGACCTTGGTGATCATCACACTGCTAATCTCGTTGGTAGTCCCGACTGAACCAGAGCCGCTAGATGCCAGCTAATATAGTAGCTCGAGGCATCAGTCATCCACTGAAAACATTTCCCCCCGATAGTCTTCAGATTTCGACTATTAAATCCGTACACGCGCATTTAACTTCACGTTTCGCGTCACTAGCCAGTTAGGGTTAGCGAGGATTCAGGCATACACGAAGAGTTCAACAGACTCGACGTAGGCAACACAAAGGAATTCATGAACTTTCACGTAGTTTCGCGTAGATCAGCCCGCCGGTCGCTATGGCTAGTCCTATCTCGTATGTCGCGGCCATTTGTCGGTTCGACTTCCAGATTGATTACCTATGAGATACCTCAAGCACACCGAATCGCATCGCGATCTTATGTTTCTTCCTTGCCAAGCCTCGATCGAATCGGATCGAATCAAAACGACCCTGCGCGAAACGCGTCTCTTCTAATCAAACCCCAGGCCGAAGCTTCAAGGCGCCCCAAAATACCTTCTCATTCCACGTCGCGGCATGGTCCGTCGCTGGTGCGCCTTCCAAGCCAGCAGACGCAGAAACTTCCAAGGCGGAGACTGCTATCTTCGGGCCGAAATCACTTCCTGGAAGCAAGCCTTTAATACCAGTGCAAACGCAGCTTAAAACGCGTACAAAGGACGAGGAGAGGGGGGATAAGGGAGGAGGACAGAGGAGCATCAGGAAAGTGGAAGGGGGAGAAAAGCGGGGTGCGGATGAGAGGGTTGAGAGGATAGTGGCGGGGAATGCAGCGGGGAATGCTGCGGGGAATGCTGCGGGGAATGCTGCGGGGAATGCTGCGGGGAATGCTGCGAGGAATGCTGCGGGGAATGCAGCGGGGAATGCTGCGGGGAATGCTGCGGGGAATGCTGCGGGGAATGCTGCGGGGAATGCTGCGGGGAATGCTGCGGGGAATGCTGCGGGGAATGCTGCGTTGAATGCAGAGGGGAATGGAGCGGGTAACAGTGAGGGAGGCAAGAGGAAGAGCTACGGGACGAGAGGCTGCAAGGAGGAGGAGAAGGCAGTGGCAGTGATTTCTGGAGTGCTGAGGGAGAGATTCGGGCCTCAGATTGTGAGCGAGGAGGTGGAGGAGTGGGGGAGTGGAATAGGAAGCAGCGAGGATGAAGAGGACGTGGAGATAGTGAAAGAGGAAGAGCAGGAAGAGGAGGAGGAGGAAGAGGAGGGGGAGGTTGAGGAGCAGGAGAGGTTAGAAGTAGTTTGGGAGGAAGCTGAAGCAGAATCGAGTGAGGAAATCGCACCACCTACGCATCTCCCACCCACCATCTCTCCCACACCCCCTTCTCCACCCAACAGCCGGCGGGTCGTATCTCCCTCCTCCCTCCTCTCCCTCTACCGCTTCTTCTCCTCCCACTTCGGCATCTCCTCCCCTTCCACTGTCGCCTCCCTCCTCGCCACTTGCCCGCAACTTCTCCGCTCCAATCTCACCAATGACTTTCTGCCACGTGTCCGTCTCCTCCAGTCATACGGCATTTCCGATGCTGACATTGTGCACATCACTGTGAGAAATCCAGCCTGGCTCCGCTCCTCCCTGCCACAGATTCAGAATATGCTTGAGTTTCTTTTAGCTAAAGGCGTTCGTCGTAGCAGATTGGGCTCGGTGCTCCGACGTGGACAGGGCTTACTCTGCAGGGAGGCACATTCAACGAACCTGGACATTCTGGTGGAGAAAGCAAGGGTTCCTGTGGACAAGCTGGGTGTGATTATAGAGAGATGTCCGTCCGTCTTGACTCAGAACAAAGAGACGGTGAGTACTCACCTTGAGACATTATCGGCCTATTTAAAGGCGGGATCTGAAAGGGAGGTAGAAGCTGATACTTCCAGCACAGGCCTCCTGAAGCACCGACTAGATGAGCAACATCAGGACAGACAGGGACCACCTAACCAGGCTCATTCTGAAGTTTCCACCCATCCTAGGTCCTTCGCTTCACAGCATTGCAGAGAAGATCCGCATTCTCCAGTGACGGCTACCGAATCTGGACGGCGAGAACCTGCTTGCTGGCGCATATCTAGCTTTTTACGAGTATGTCTATTAGTAGCGCCGCTGGATTAGTCGGACTATGTTAGTGATTATCGAGGATGATTGTGCGGAGGATAATGGCGACAAAGGTGCTTAGATGCAAAATTTGACCAAGAGCTGTTCGCGAATCACCGAATTTGCTCGCCAAACAAGGATTGCCATGAAAGTTTGAGTCCTCGCGCAATTTGCGAGGCACAAGTAACAAACATCACCTGTTACACAGCTGCTAAGCTGTTCGCCCTTCAGGAATTTCGATTTCGCCCACGTGACGGAACTTCTGAAGCAGCGGTTACCTCCTCGAATGGTGTTCAACACCTTTGAATTGGATCGGAGTACAATACGCAGAACTCCTTTCGCAAGCTATCATCAGCTCTACGAGTCGCGTTACTAGTAATCCATAGCGCCTTATATCTTCCCAAACCCGCATCTCAGTTAGCACAATCATCCCGCAGTATCCCTCCCTCTTCTTGCAATCTTATCTAATCGTCTCTATACTTCTCAAAGAGCCTCTCAGCGAGAGCCTGCGTCGTTTGGCCTCTGCCTCACTTCTACTTCCTAAGCATCTCTACTTCCTAAGCATCTCATATTATCGAGTGAGGTTCATAACTACTGCGCACTTCAGATCGTTTGGAGTGTCCTTCGCTCATTGCGGAGCTCAGATTTGAGTGTCTAAGCCTATGTATAGCCTCACGACGTTTCAGTCCACGAAACCCTAATTACAGGCCTGAGGTAAGGCCGGCCCCATCATTCCCTACGTCTCCATTCCAAACTCCCAGAGCCTATCGCAATGAGATGAATGTCAGTAAACAATCGCTCAGTCATGCGTGAAGGCGTCATACCTCCATTTGCGTATTCACTTACAAACTGAATGCAAACTGAATGCAAACTGAATGCAAACTGAATGCAAACTGATTGCAAACTGAACGCCATTTGCGTATTCACTTACAATGCACTCAGAAAATATGTGGCATGTTACTTGACATTGCTGCAAGTCACATCATCATCGCTGTTTCTTTGCTGTCTGCACTTGAATTCCCGCCGTTACGCTTTTTCTTCTCTAGAGCAGTGCTAGCTTGCACTTTCTCCACAGGCATAGTTGGAAATTTATGTGTGTTTTCTATTCTCAGACCTGCCTGAACTGAATTCCACTGCATTGGTTTCACTTCTCACTCTCAACAACCGAGCCTTCATCATCTTTACAGTTTAGCATTGCGAAACTTGGAGTCTCGACTTACTCTTATCGTTAGTGCATGTCCTCTTATTCATAGAAACCGCATAGCAAATACCAACATTACTTATCTTCTCCTTATCTTACTCCTCGAGCGTTTGGTCTATTTCCTTCCTTCTATCAGTTTCAAAGCCATCTCTTGTTCTTGAGCTTCATTTGCAACTGCGTGGTTTCAGATCGTGTGGCGGTTTCTGCGCCGCATATTCTCTCCTACCAGCACTACGTTGCACTCTGCTGGCCTCAGAGGTAAGGCACGTGATGCCATGCATTTTGGCTCGCAAACTGTCACTTCCAGCAACCATACCTTTCCTCGCTTCCGCCTGAGTCTTGCTCCCATCTCCACCCTATGTTTCTCTCATGTGCCAACTAAGTTGTACATCATGCATTGCATCGACTAAGTTGTACTTCGCCAAAGCGCCTATGCCTCATTGTCAACATTCCATGTTCCTATGCTTAGCGAAAAAAAAAGGGGCAGTATACGGTCGTTTAGGCATCAGACTAAACGTGTTTTTTGAGTACCATGATTGGCTGTTCTCCCTGAGCATGGATGTGTCGTGCTCAGGGAAAACTGAACGCAAAATGCCACTTCACATACTTCTGACTGGACATTGCTGTGAGTCCCGTCATTATCACACATTCCTTATCCTATTGCTACCATGGTTTGAAACCCCTCAATTGCATCCGCGTAGTCCACTATTTCCTAGAAGCGGTTTCTTCCCTTGAGCTGTTCCTTTGAGCTGTTCCCTTGAGCTATTCCCTTGAGCTGTTCCCTTGAGCTGTTTCACATCTAAACTACCAAGCCCGTCCACGTAGGACTTGCACTGGTTTCCATTGCGTGGATGTAAACCCGAGTAAACTGTGACGCGAGTAATACTCTCCTCGTTGTGTGTTGCCCTGTGTGACTGACATGATGGCAGAGATAATTGCGTGCCGTGTACTTTTCCCCCTTCCCCACCTTATCCCTCCCATTGTTTTGTCTGCCGAGTATTTCTTGCCCGAGACGTGGCAAGCAACACTCGCCTCGCCTTCAATGCCCTTGCAAAAATTCAGCATACAATACCAAACTATCCAACCGACTCCCCTCCCACCCTCACCTGGAATCTCACACTCCTGCATCACCTGAAAAGCACCCTGACAAAGCAGATATTGTTGTTTTGGAATCGACTCCTCTACAAGTCGAGCTTGAGTTCAAATCGCGAGGGAAGCCGACTTGTAAGTAGTTTCTTTTCTCCATAGGCTTTCTCTGCCGAGCAGAGAGCGAGTCTTTTTCTACTCAATAAGTGCTTCTCGGCTCGCCTCAGTCATAATCTGAAAGGGCGAGCCATGGGTGAGTGAGATGGCTAAGGCAAGGCCTCAGTCTCGCCCACTTCGAATAGGAGATTTGAGGGGATTGTTGCTTGCTGTTTGCTCAAGTCCTCTTGAATTGAATCGTGCTCCTGTTTTGTTGTTTCCTGTTTGGATCCTTATTTACCTCCACCCGATTCCAACATGCCACAGTGCCCCTCTTCGAGCATCACGCAGCAAGAGAATCTCCAGCTGAGCTCAAGGAACACAAATGGCTGTAGATGGGAGACAAATGCGATCGCTGAAGCGGTGAAAGGGCTGTTTGGATTGGTGAGGGGGGAGTTAACTGCAGTGAAGAGGGAGCTGATGGCAGTTAGGGAGGAGGTGGCTCGACAGAATGCGCGAGTGTTGATGCTGGAGGAGAGGAATGAAGTTTTGGGGAACGAGGTGAATGATTTGAGACGTGCACTGGGGGTTGTGAAAGAGAGGAGTGAGTTGGCAGCTGTGAAGGAAGAGCTGATTGGAGTGAAGGGGGAGCTGCATGGAGTGAAAGGGGAGCTGAATAGAGTGAAAGGGGAGCTGAATGGAGTGAAGGGGGAGCTGAATGGAGTGAAGGGGGAGCTGAATGGAGTGAAGGGGGAGCTGAATGGAGTGAAGGGGGAGCTGAATGGAGTGAAGGGGGAGCTGAATGGAGTGAAGGGGGAGCTGAATGGAGTGAAGGGGGAGCTGAATGGAGTGAAGGGGGAGCTGAATGGAGTGAAGGGGGAGCTGAATGGAGTGAAGGGGGGGCTGAATGGAGTGAAGGGGGAACTGAATGGAGTGAAGGGGGGGCTGAATGGAGTGAAGGGGGAGCTGGCAGCAGCGAAACGGGAGTTGGTTGAGCACAAGCAGTTAACTAGGTTCCAGTTGGAGGGGGCTGAGAGGAGACGAGTGGTGGAGATGAGGGAGATGAGAGGGCAGGTGGAGGAGAGGGAGAGGGAGGTCAGCGTAGTGAAGACGAAGCTGTCTGAACACACGGATGCTATTGCAGAACAGTTGGAATTTGCTGAGAGAAGAAGGGAAAAGGAATTGAGAGAACTGAGGGAGGAGGTTAGAAAGGGAGTGGATGAGATGAGGGCAGGTTTGGCAAGGGAGAGGGAGGAGAGGAGGGAGGTGCAGGAGTTGAATTGGTCACGTGCCATGGAGGAATTGGCAGGCTGCAGGAATTGGGTGCATCTTCATCTGGGAATCATCCACAGTCACGGTCCTCAGAAGACTTCATGGGAGGCGAGTGCTGAGTGAACTGTTGTTATGCCATAAATTATTTGTATTGTAACAATGCATTTGTCAGCCACGTGCCATTATTGGAAATCTGTAAGGAGTGGCAGCTGATAAGAGTTGGGAAGTTGTATATTGAGGTGCAAATCAGCCAGAGTAAATCAGTGAGGTGAGTGCTGAGTGAACCAGTTTCACAGGTATGCATTGTTTGGCAGGCCATGCATTTTTTTCTTATTCCTGGGCTGCCAAAAAAATAAAGGGCCAAGACTTTAGAGCTGCGTCTAGCATCCTGGGCCTGGATGGTCGCATGCGGACACTAAATGATATGATTCACGGGCCTTGCATCTATTCCACCTTGGGCTGTTACATGCATTGCCATTCCTTTCCTTGTCATTCATGCCCTCTGCATTCATCACCTCCAGAAAGTCGAGGCAGCATCACGAGGAACCAAGCTGAGCCTGACGACATCCTCGCCCATGTGTCCACAAAAGCCCATTTGAAGAACATTGACTTGGACTCTACCTCAGGATTCAGTGCAGAGGGCATCAAGCACCTCTTCAGACTTCCACGGCTGGAGACGCTAGATCTCAATAACACAGACCTCTGTGACAGTGCCTTGGAAGGCATTGGGGCCATTGTCGGGCTCGAGTGCCTCTATCTCCATTGTACCAAAGTGACAGACGCAGGTCTGCTGCACTTTACACACTTTTCCTCTCTAAAACATCTGAGGCTCTCTGACTGCAAGGGTGTGACAAATGCTGACATGGTGTATGTGGGGAGGCTGATAGGGATAGAGAAACTTTGGCTGCGTGGCATAGCAGTCACGGATGATGGGCTGCAGCAGCTGACTGCCCTGACCAAGCTGAGAACTCTCCAGCTGCCAAATGGGAATATGGTCAACGATGAGGATGTGCTCAGGTGGATAGGCAGATAGGGTGGGAGAGAGTGATGGAGGGGGAGGGGAAAGGGGGCTGGGGGGATGACAGCATTAGGGCAGAGTTGAGAGTGAATGCTTGGAGGATACTGGAAGAGGCATGGAGGCAAGGGTTGTGGAGAATGAGGGGAGCACATGGAGGAGTTTGCAAGTTGGTTCAAAATAGCATTTTCTTGTCACAGCTAGAGTGGCCTACGTTTGGTTCGTGTATAGACGGGAGTGGTAGGGATGTATACATGTGTGTTGTGCCAGGAAGGGGGCATGAACGGGATGGCAGCTCCTTGCTCAACGGGTGTTGACTGGGCTGGGTGGCATGCTGCTGCACCACTGTACTATGTTGGATTGACTGGCAAGATTGGCTGTGGCTACCATGTAAAGATTGAAGGGCGTGCGGAGTGGAGGCAAAGGGAGTGGAGGACAGGGGGTTGGATTGGATGGGCGAGGCCTTGCCTGCACTGTAAACAGGTCAACGTGTGTGAACTTGTCACACTCAAACATCTTTTGAGAGCCGCTCAGGGAAGATAGAACAGTTTCATGTGGAGGGGATGCCTGCCTGACTGCCTTGGCTATGATTGATTGAATGTCTATTAAAAAATACTCCTATGCGATTGGTTCCTGATTATAAAAACAAGCTATTTACCACCTAAATATCAAGCAATTGTGACTGTAAAGCTAGCAATAACGAGGATCCTATGACTTTCCGAGCTTCATTTTGGATAATGCGTAATCAAAGCATAATGCATGTGATGGAAGTGGGTCCAGCCAGGGCTGAAGCAAAAGGAAGTGGGGCCATCTCTGCATGGGAGATGTTTAGGAGGATATGCATGCTGTGATAGCAGTGTAAATCGTTACACTGACATATCAGTGTAACACTAATCCCCCCAAAATTTACCCAAACCCATCAGTGCAGGTCCTAAATTTCACCCTTATAATCAGAATAGCAGTGTAAATTACACTGATAACGAGAGCCCTGCTATCCATCCATTCCATCACACTCATCCTTGCCCGTTGACATTACCATACATGGCAGCACACGGCAACACCGGTAAAGGGAATGATCCTTCGAAAGAGATGGAACTGAATGGCATGCTGGACCTGAAAACTTGCACCTTGTGAACATCTCATCTCCGTGTGTGCTGCACCGAAAGTGATTCTTACAGCTTCCCCTCCTGGCCTATGAGGTCGTGTGACACCACAACTCACCACTAACGTATCCTTCCTAGCTGCTAAAGGAAGAGGCAATTGCAGGAGTGCCCCCTCACTATACCCTCACGCTCCACCCGTAAGTACATGCTGTGTGGCACCCTCACTGAATCCCTCTGAGCTCAAGAGGAATACACTGGAAGTGCAAGGATGAGAGTGCGAGGCACTCATGGTTTGGGAGCAGCGGAGTGATGAGAGAGTGGTATAATGCGTAGTATGGAGTGAGGATTGCAGTAAGGTATGCCATGTACCATACGGTGAGGCATAACGCACAGCAGGTCTACTTATGCACCATCGTGCCATGAGGAGCTGATAAAGAGGAAAGCGGGGACGAGGCAGCAAGAGATGCAGGGTGACAAGGGCTGGGGAGTGAGAAAAAGAGGTTATGAAAAGGGGAAGGCGGAGGGACAGGAGGTGATAAGGTCTGGAAACACATCTCGGGGCCTATGCTGGTACAGAGCGAAGGGCAGACGTCAGTGAGAGGCAGGCATTAGTGAAGTCCATGCAAATCGGATTCAGAAACAAGACCATAGGATGAGTAGTTTGGGATTGAGGCATGGGATGAGATGTGCTGACAAGGCTGTCCCATGGCTATCTTTTCCTGCTAGACTGCACAAACAGTGATAAGCGTGGCCACTTCAACCTTCAGACTTACAGCCAATGCAACACGAGCCCCCAAGCATCACCTTCCTTGGATCACCCTCTTAAGTTTAAAATATTTCACTGCGACTGAGGGAAGGAAGGACAGGCATGAGTGAAGGATGTCACTGATGATACGCGAAAGCGAAAGTGATTTGGAAAGAACGGAGTAATAAGATAAGTAACGGAGCATCGTGGGATGAGCTATGGAATGCGATATGCGTGCGAATCTATTGCATCATTCCAGTTGAAGCGCACAAGCATGGCTGTTCTTAGAAATAGATCGTCATATGCCGTGGAGCAACCAACCAGTTTGAATTCCTAGTTGCCGCTACTGTAGCCATACCTGTTTTACTCCTGCCCATCTCTGCTCCAGCCCCACATCCCTCCAGGGCATGCCATAATGACGAGGGCATGGCACTGCTAGGTGCAGCAGAGGGGAGATTGGGAGCGAGAGTGGGAAGGTAAATACATAGGTCGAACAGGACGGGAGTGGGCCATGGGTAGGGGGGGAGAAGGGGGGTAAGTGGTTGACAGAATATCACGCGGACCAGGTGTAGGTGATGTGGGAGGGAGGGGAGGATGCTGCCTGGAGATGCGATGGCATCGGTGCTGCTGCTTGGCTTGGATGGTGTGGGAGCAGATGGGGGGATGATGGCAGGCAGAGGAGGATGACCTGAGATGGTGAGGGACTGTTGGTTCATACATTGGACGGATGAAAGAGTTTGAGATGAGGTGAGATGACGTGCATAGCACGACGGCGTTGAAATAATGAGCAGCTGACGGTTGGAGAGGGTAGCAAGGATGAACGGGGCACTGGAGGAGGTGAGTGGGGTGGGAGGAGGAGGTGAGTGGGGTGGGAGGAGGTGAGTAGGGTGGGAGGAGGTGAGTGGGGTGGAAGGGGGTGAGTGGGGTAGGAGGAGGTGAGTGGGGTGGGAGGAGGTGAGTGGGGTGCGAGGAGGTGAGTGGGGTGGGAAGAGGTGAGTGGGAGGCACAACCACCGCTGATGCTCCTCCCGCAGGAGATGTTGTTGTTGCACCAGCTGCTCCTGCTCCCCTTCCACAACTCTTTCTCGAACACCTCTTTTCAAGGTATGCTTCCCTTGCCATTGCTGCTGCCACTGCAGGAGGGCACAGGTGGGTCAGGCGGTAGAAGGGTGAGTGGGGCGTAGAGGGGTGAAATTGGAGAGATACGATTTTTCTCGTGTAGCTGATGTGGGTGGGAGAGAGAGGGGGTGGCCAAAGGTGCAGTGGCTATTGGTAGGAGAGAAGATGGGGGGTGATGGAGGGCAGAGGAAGAGGTCCTGAGAAGGGGACGGACTGTTGATTTATTCACGCAGTGAAGGACAAGGGGAAAACAACTGAACTGAAAGTGGGTGCGGTGGTTGAAATGGGGTGAGAGAGGAGGGAGATAAAGGGATATGGCAGGGAAGGAGTGGTAGAAAGGATACGGGAAGGAAAGGGAGGAGAGGAGGATGAGAAGGACGGAGGGAGGTTAGAAGGGAGGGGAAGAATGAGTGAGGTTAATATGAAATGTACGAAATCGAGGGGAATGCACCTGTTATGACCATGCAAGAGGGTCATCGTCTCCTTTGCCAACTCACACTCTCTTTCTTCCCTCCACGTTCACCATGCTGAACCGTTGTTTCAGCTGCACGTGCTTTGGGGAGGAGTGTATAAGCTTTCATGAACCGATGCTTCATGATCTATGCTCCCACGCTCCCTGCTCCTGCCATCAAATCCGGTGGAAAAGGGGCAGTGATAGACACGGGGGAGCAACGGTTGGGACGCAATTTGGGGTTGTTGCAGAAAGGAAGGGGTTGTAGCTTGAGTGATCATTCAGAACTGCACTGATTCAGCAGAGCACAGGCCTGCACGTACTGGGAAAGGAAGCACCTGAGGTGCGTTCTTAGGTGGGCGCGGCAGGAAGGGGAAGCAAAAGTAGAGGACCTGACGGGGGGAAAAGGGGTGGGGAGATAGAGGAAGAGGAGGAGTGGGTGAGTGCGGATGGAACAATGCAATGGTGCTGACATGGTGCTCAAAACCCATGCTTAGTTTGAGCAGTACATGGTGCTGACCAATAAGGTGACGCTGCTGCGACAGCTCTACATGCAGCATGCCAGTTAGCTGCCAGCCACGTCTGTTGGGGGAGTTTCAGCGGTAGCAAGTGTGAATGCGGCCGCAGCTGCTGCAGCAGATGTGACGGGCTCGGGTGGGGCAGGTGGTGGCATGAGCGGTCGGTGAAAGACATGCTGTTGCAAGTCATGCACGTGCCCGTGCAGCAGTAGCAGCGACAGCAGAGAGGTGCCAGTGGAAGTGGTGAGGCGAGAGGCAAGGTGAAGTGATGGGGTCAAGTCACGAGGTCAAATCATAAGGTCAAGTTCAATACAGCAGCTGAGGGCAGATAGGAGGTGGAGGGAAGAGGAAGGGAAGGTGCAATTCCAGAAAGACGATTGGAGTGTGCGCCGAGGAGAAGGGAGGAATGGATGGAGGGGGAGGGGAGGGAGAGGTGGGCGGGTAAGGCATGGAGGAGACGATTGGGTGATAAGCTACGGCTCCTCTATCAGAGGGAAGGAGAGTGGCTGTGAAGAAGAGTGTGATGAAGAAGGATACTCCTTTCCCCCGCACACCCGCAGTGCGGGCCACCGCTGCACTGGCAGCGGCCAGGGCGAAGGAGCACAACTACCGCCACTGATTGGATTGGGTGGGGTTCAAGGCCATGGCAGCCGATGCTTATGGCTACTGCTCCCCCGGGGTGTTCGAGCTCCTCAGCCTCTGTGTGGTCTTGGCAGACAAGAGACTCCACAATACAGAGCCCTCATCGAGGGAAGCAGCGAAGCTGTTCCACAGCTATTGCCAGCGCTGCAGCAGGCCCAGGCAAATGCGCTGATTGCCAAGTCCCACGCTGCCTTTATGGCGGCACCCACTGCGGTGAACCCCTCCCCCCCGCCCCTTGGTATCGGGGAGCTCCTCCACACCACACCATTGAGGGAGGGGCCCAAGTGCTGTAGACTACTATAGCAGGTAGTGCCCTCCGTGTTTTGCTGTAACTACCGTGTTGCCCTATCGTTGTATCCTAATGCTTATATCAACAAAAGGATCATTCGAGGGGAAGGGAGCAGTGAGATACATGTATCACAGCTGAGAGAGTATGAAACGATGTGCGGACCAAAGGTGCCGAACAGTGCCAAAAGCTGAGAGAAGTGGCGGGAGTGAGTGCAGTGGGGCAGGCAGAAGTCTGCTAGGAGCAAAAGTTGCTGCAGAGCTGGAGGGGGAATGGGGCAGGAGGGAACTGGGAGAGGGAGGGAGCATGGAATGAGGGAAGGGAGGTGCACATGGTGGGAAGGGTAGAGCGCACAGGCAGACGGGCAACACATGATTGAAAGGACGACTCAAGATCCATGAGGGTTCTGGCAGGCAGGAGACAAGTGGGAGGCAGGCAGGCGGGCGACAAGTGGGGGTGCAGGTGACGCAGGCGCACAGTTTCGGGGACAATCATCCCGGTGAGGCACGGCGCGGTCACCGGCCATTCCAATCGGCCCACGCGTGTGAAGCGTCCAGCACATCCCGCCCGCACTTCCACGCCTTTGGGGGACAATCATCGTCCAGCTTGACACGCATGGTGCTGCCTGCGCACACACACATGTGGCACATCGCAATCCAGCCATTCCAATCGGCACACGCGGATTGATTCTGCCGGAAACGAGTCGCGACTGGTCATGGTAGAGCTTGGCGTCTGGACTGGGGTAAGGAAGAGGTGCGGGAGGGGGAAGGAGAAGGAGAATAGGAAATGGGAAGGGGATACGGGTAAAGGGAGGGGGTAAGGGAGGAAGAGTGGGTAAGGGGTAAGGGGAATCAGGGGTGGTGGACGGGAAGAGGGTAACGGAAGGGGAAGCGGGTAAGGGAAGGGAAGGGGTTAAGGTGAGGGAGAGGGGGTAAGGGGAGGGAGAGGTGCAGGAATAAAGGGAGGGGTACGCGGAAGGGAGATAGGTAAAGACACGGGAGTGGGTAAGTGAAAGCGGAATGCGTATGGGTAAAGCGAGGGGGTAAGGGGAGGGTTCGAGATGGTCCTGAGATGGTGCTTTGGCGAGCAGTGTGGCTGTGCGCATGCGTGCGTGCGCAAGGTCATGGAAACAGCAAGAGGGAGAGGAGCGGAGCTGGAGAGGTCAGGGATGAGGGGAGGGAAGAGAAGTAAGACCCGGGCATGGGTGGGTGGGTGGGAAGGAAGTTTTGCAGGTCGTTCATCTCGGAGCCCCATGGCATCCTCAATAGCCTCCGCCGGCCCCATCAGCACCTTCCTTCATCAGCGGCCCCTCACAGTGCGTTCAAGTTACTCTCACATACATCCCCGCCCCACAATGGCTGCTCATAGCCTCTCACACACATCACCTTCATCCCGCCTTCATCAGTTGGAATTTGGCGTTGAAACTGCGGATTCCCATTCACCGAGATCCCAACCGCAGCAAGATGGATGGCGACCCGGAAGCAGCAGCGCCGACTCAAGGCAGCGTGGAGGACGAGAAGGCGAAAGAGGGGGACTGAGGCGTGTGAGAGTAAATCGGAATTCGGAATTTGGGATTCGGGAGCGACTTTGCCGCTGCCTGCGAGAAGCGAGATTCCGTGCGCGATCTGTCGCATCGGTGCGCGCGGAAAAGCGCCTCAATGTTCTCGACATCGGTTCACGCTGAGTAATCGCTCTGGCGGTTTCCGTGGCGCTACTACTAGGGGTGGAGTACCTGGTCTGGTAGAGTGACAGAAGCCGAAGATGACAATGACTCATTACCTTCGACGATGATAAGCACTGTCGCCTCCGTATCACTCTCCCTATGGTCTACGTGTAAAGAAACCCGTGTCGCGTGCGAACGTTTTCGATACTGTTCTGAAGTATGTCGCATGGACGAGTCGCTTTTGTTTACTCACGAAGAATGCTCGAGCTGTTTGGATTTGGTGGGAATCGTCAAAGTTCGTCTTCTTGTAACCAATGCCTTGTGAGGTCTCGTGTAAGCCCTACTTTACCTTGCAACCAGACCCAACCAATACTCGCCGTGGAAGGAATTTGCTTCACCGGTTGGCTTCGAGAAAATCTGCTGGAAGAAATTTGCTTCGAGCTACCACTGGAAGCGAATTCCTTCCACCTCGCTCTGGATTCGAGAAATCTGCTGGAATAACGGTTGAGAACGATGTTGAGCACTCTGGTACGGTTTTCTTGCTTCACCGCTTTAAACCAGTACGCACCAAGTTGAACGGTGAAACATGGAAGTATACTGTAAACGAACAGCAAGAAACTTCAATGCGTTGCCCAGAAGCGAAGGCCTGCGCTACCATTCGGAATTGTGAGCCTCTCTAGTCGACCTAGATCTGCATGAAGCAGGAGTTGATCCTGCAGTCAAAGTCGATAGTAGTGCTCCATAAATACCTGCGATCTAATTTAGGACACAGTCGCTTTTCTGATGCTCGATGTGTTCGCTGCAAACCGTAGCATCGTTGGCTTACCAAGTTGTCGTTAGGCAGGAGGTGGTCAATCGTTTCGGGGATTGATACTCTGAGGTGTAATTTGTTGGCTCGATTTCGTAACACACGTAGATCTTCGCCTCAGTTTCCAATTGTTATTTTCTTCACGGGTGACATGGAGTCTCGTAGAACCCACATTCACCATCTTTCTGACGACATCTTGGTCCGCATCTTCTGGCCCTCGAAACAATCAGAATCCCCCGCATCCGAGAGCGATGACCTTTGGAATGCCTTCAATTCAAGCCCAAGTACATTTAGAATGTGGGAAACAGACAATCCGATGCCGACCCCTCCAGCCTCCGCAGATGCTGCTCATAACCTCCTCATCGCGTCGATCTGCCGTCGCTGGCGGCGTCTCGCTCAGAGCCATGTCTCATCGCTCCTCGTCAAGGAGGATCTCGTCGTTTCTCGTCAGGATCTCCTCAACGCCGTCGCCTGCTTTCCTAAACTGACCCATCTGCATCTGTCGGATCGAAGTGCTGAAGCTCTGGACAACACTTTTCTTGTCGATCTCGCCGCTTCTTGCCCTGGCCTGAGAGCGCTGCACGTTGGGGATCTGATGATATTTGCGAGCAAGGAAAGACATGCAAGGAGGGCCACCCGTCTGATAGACGGATCTGGCTTGGAGCATCTCGCCCGACACTGCCGTCAATTGGAGCAGATGTCGCTGTATTGGCTCGAGGACTGTGTCGATCCACCAGCTTCTCTCTTTCAGCTCCCGTTGCGCATCCTTGTCTTGAAGAATCAAGCTTCCATCGTAACCTCTCCAAAGCTCAGCTCACTTCTCTCTCTCGCTGCACTCTCCTTACATACCTTTAGCCTTTCCAGTTACAAGCTTTCCAGCATCCTTCACCTCACCAACCTCACCTGTCTCTATCTGCCTGATATTGGCCTTTCGCCCGGAGATACAACTGGCGTCTCACTCGCACAGCTACCTTTTCTCCAGTCACTGAAACTCGAGCTGCAGTCCGAGTTTAGCGATTTTTTTTCTCCCAATCTTCAATTCAGGACCTTGAAACGGTTGCAGCTTGCTCACTGCTATAGCCAAACCCAGCTTCCAGACAGTATAGGAGAGGTACTGCCATGCCTCCAAGAGCTCAGCATCAGTTACTGCAAAAGCTTAAGCGATTTAACCGACCAGTTCAGCTCCCTCACCTGCCTGGAGAGGTTGATCATTTCCTCATGCGACGACGTGTCCTTGCTGCCCGATAACTTTGGGGATCTCACAGCCTTGAAGGCTTTAGTGCTGCACGAGCTGCCCCTTCTCCATCTCCCTGCGTCCTTCACCAGACTTGCATCTCTGGAGACGCTTTTTCTGGTGTGCGAGGGGATGGGCGAGCTGCCTGGAGGGGGTCTGACCAGCCTGCAAACTCTCTGTCTCAGCCATGGCAGCCAAGACAAGCTTCCGTCGTCATCCACGCAGCGGACTACGCTGACCAGGTTGCAGCTGGATCGGTGCGGGGTTGTTGAGCTTCCAGCCCGCATGGTGGGGATGACAAACCTGCAAGAGCTCTGCATTCGGGAGTGCTGGCCTTTGAAGAAGCTTTCGGAATTTGTGACGGCGCTCGTCAGCCTTCGAATGCTGAGGATTGAAGGGTGTGACAATCTCTTGTCGGTTCCCATGAGGCTGGACAGTCTTACCAGGCTGAAGCAGTTGGAACTGAGGAGATGTGAGCAACTGAAGGAAGTCCCTCAGGCTCTGCCACTCAGCCTCCAGGCGCTATCCTATGACGGCAACCAGCAGCTGGTGTCTTGGCCAGGCGTATCAACACTCACACAGCTGAGGAAGCTGTGCTTGGGCACTGTAGGTGCAACCTGTCTTGAGGCCATCAGCAGACGCCTAAATGGTCTGGAGCACCTAGAGCTCACGTTGGGAGATGATGCCGAGGAGTCTCTGTCCGCGTTGGCAAGGCTCTCTCGCCTCCACACCTTGACACTCGACGGGGCTCGTAGCATAAATAAGCTCGTGGGGTCTGAGGGCTTGGCATTGCAGGAGCTACGGCAGCTGAACATCCACACTTGGCGTGATGAACTCACAGAGCTGCCTGCAGCCATCACCACTCTCCACCGCCTCACATCCATTCGAGTAGAAGCGCACAACTTATCTTCTCTTCCGGACGCCATTGGGGCATTGTCAAGATTGCGCAGGCTGGACTTATGCGACTGCTCATCCCTCACGCATCTCCCTGATTCCCTCACGCAGCTCTCCTGCCTGCATGAGCTGGATCTCAGCTGCACCGGCATCTGGCTGCTTCCTCCTGGCTTTACTCAGCTCAGCAGACTAAGGAATGTCAAGCTTGGTAACTGCAGGCACCTCCAGGCTCTACCTGACGACATACGAAATCTTCCAGTGCTCGATTTTCTTGATACTACTGGTTGTTACATGCTCCAGCACTGAAGGTGCCTTTTACCACTCATACATTTTGATCCTTAGCTAGTGTACCTGTATGCCAGCATACTCAGGCTCCACTACGATGTAGCATTTTTCTGTGATATAAATTATAATTCGATTCACTTTCAGATTTTGCATACAAAAAGGACTATCTGTACTTGAGTCAGTGACCTTCCTTTCCTGCCTTAATAGGTAGCGTGGTCATTTACTATGTGGAGTGTGTACGTTATATCCCACGTATTGTTGCTGCTTGTGTTCTTCTCCCTTCCCCTCCCTTCGTCGTCCTTCCATCGCATCCTTCTCGCTCTCACTCTCAGCTAATGTGCCATAGGCATCCTTCTCGCAATCTCTCTCAGCTAATGTGCCTTGTTATGGACAGTGTAATCGTGTGCTTATGCTTGTGTCCCTTGATGCCCTGCTTTCATACCCCTTCCCCTCCCATGCGCATCCTTCCTTCCCGCCCTCCTCCCTCTCTTAGCCAGCTCATGGTCGTTGGCATTGGCAGCGTGTTGGTGGGCAGGCCACTTGGAACGACCTGCCACACACTGAGGCACGCAGAGTAGCTGAGGCGAGCCGAGGAGGCAGCAGAGACGGCAAGCAAGCGACGCCATAAGCACCAGTTCTAGGAATCTGAGGCATACCATGTGCAACCCCATGCATGGTGAGCTGGGTGGGTGGGTGGATGGTTGGGGGTGATGCGTGCATGTGCATGGACAAGGCATGGTGTGGTGTGTGCATGCTGTGTGCATGTTGTGAACCTGGTGCGTGCATGGTATGGTTTTTGCACGCCGTTTGTGGGCATATTGCACCAGTGCATGGTTGACTGGGAGGTGCATGGTTTACTGGGAGGTGCATGGTTGACTGGGAGGTACCTTCCTTTATCTTCATACACCAGACCAGCTCTCATATTTATGTCCTCTTCTCCCATTTCGCCGTTCTTGCCCTCCCTTTTGTCTCCCCTCCCCTTCCCCTTTCCCCTTTCCCTCCCCTTCCCCTCTCCTTCCCCTCCGCCCCTTTCCCCTCTCCTTCCCTCCCCTTCCCTCCCTTTCCCCTCTCCTTCCATTCTCCTTCCCCTCCCTTTCTCGCTCCCCTTGCCCTCCCCTCTCCCTCTCCTCTCCCTCCCATGGGTCTCATCTCATCTCGTGGGTCTCACCTCATCTCAGGGCTCTCATCTCATGGCTCTCAGCTCAAGGGCTCACGGGTAGCATGATACCGAGGCTGTGTACTGGATAAGGGGGAATTGGGAGGAGGTGAAGCAGTTGTCAGCAGGCGAGGGGACAAGATTACAGGTGGTACCAGCAGGTGAGACACGAGAAGGGTGGAAAGTGGTCCTCACACGAAGGGGTGATCAAGGAAATAATTTCCAGTTGGGAGAGGAGCGAACGGTGCAGCTATTGAAAACAGGAGCGTGGTGGGAGGAGAGGAGGAGGGAAATGAAGGTGTGCTAGTCTTCACGTAGAGGCCTGTGAGGGCTGTGCGGTACCTGAAGGTGAGATGCCCACAGGTGAAACCCCAATCCTCAAATATTGTCCACTCCTCTCATACCCCCCGCTCATGTGAATCCGAGTAGTTGCTGTGTCGCCTGGTCCTGCCTTCTGCCTCTGCATTCTTGTTTTCCGCCCTTGAACTATTGGTTTCCGCCCTTTCACTCCAGCTTTCCAACCTTGCATTCCTGCTTTCAGCCCTTGTGTTCCTGATAACAAGCCTCGCCTCGGTGCCTCCAACTCCCACAGTCTTGTCTGCTCCTTCGTTCCTCATTTTGCTCCTTCATTTCATCCAACCCATGCCTTTTCAACCCACTCAGGCCTTTTCATCCCACCCATGCCTTTTCATCCCACCTATGCCTTTTCATCCCACCTATGCCTTTTCATCCCACCTATGCCTTTTCATCCCACCCATGCCTTTTCATCCCACCCATGCCTTTTCATCCCACCTATGCCTTTTCATCCCACCCATGCCTTTTCATCCCACCCATGCCTTTTCATCCCACCTATGCCTTTTCATCCCACCTATGCCTTTTCATCCCACCCATGCCTTTTCATCCCACCCATGCCCTTTCATCCCACCCATGCCTTTTCAACCCACCCATGCCTTTTCATCCCACCTATGCCTTTTCATCCCACCTATGCCTTTTCATCCCACCCATGCCTTTTCATCCCACCTATGCCTTTTCATCCCACCTATGCCTTTTCATCCCACCCATGCCCTTTCATCCCACCTATGCCTTTTCATCCCACCCATGCCTTTTCATCCCACCTATGCCTTTTCATCCCACCCATGCCTTTTCATCCCACCCATGCCTTTGATATGCGCTGGCAGACCATCTACTGTGCTGCTCGCTATGCTGTGGCTCAGTTCAGGGAGGAATGTGTATATTGGCCGCAACATGCTTGCGAAATGCTTGCGTAGGTCCTTGTAAAGTTGTGAAGTTGCATGCAATGCTTGTTGTATAATGCGCTATGCTTGATGGAAATTTGTCAAGTGTGATAGGTGAAGTGGTTGCTTTGGCACGTCTCTTCGGCTGATTCTCCCTCACCGCAGCACTCACAAAGTTTGCCTCTAACAGATTCCTTTTGTGCCAGAAAATACCAGCAGCAGAGCTCAATGGTAACAGTGAAGGCAGCATGTATACCCAGTATGGTATAAAGATACCAGGGTACTGTATCCACAACTGAAAGCTCATGAACATCCATGCATCTATGTTCCAAAAGTATCCAGAGGATCACGGTGGTACCGTAATGTCCGGCAAAATGGTGGTGCTGTTCCGGTGTGACATGCTCCTTGGTACAGGAGGTGCAATGGTGCATGAAGAGCATGGGACCATCTTGGAACAAAACACACAGCTTTATTCCATACAGTGGAGGTAACAACCAGCTGCTGCAACTTGAAAGGAAAAAATGTTAGGTGACATGCCATAGGAATCCATAAGTGAGAACTGAAGGGAACGTAGCGCCACTCTTGCACAGCAGAGGCAGCACACTGCTGCCCAGCAGCATCCATGAAAGCACGACTCTTCTTTTGCCAAGTGGCAGGCAGGATCTCGTCAAGCGATGGAAGCTCCTCGCTGTTGCGGAATGCGAGGATGGTGAAGGCTGGGAAGAGGCTGAGCACAGTGGCGAGTGAAGGGCGGTGATGATGCGAGCGGTGATTACGGCCTTGCACCAACCCACTAGGGCCTGCAGAGAGGGGAGGGTTATGGAAGGCAAGGCAGGACAGGCAGGAAAGGGCAGGAAAGCAGGCAGGGAGGCCGAGGAACATGAAGGCTAAGAGGAGGCAGAGCAGAACACAGTGCCTGAAAAGGCACCTAATTAACCAGAGCCAGTCCACTGTTGAGAGGCCCCTGCTCACTGCTCGGAGGCCCCTGCTGAATTCAGACACAAGGAATCCAGACACAGGGCATTCAGGCACAGGGCATTCAAGCACAGGGCATTCAAGCACAGGGCATTCAAGCACAGGGCATTCAAGCACAGGGCATTCAAGCACAGGGCATTCAAGCACAGGGCATTCAAGCACAGGGCATTCAAGCACAGGGCATTCAGGCACAGGGCATTCAAGCACAGGGCATTCAAGCACAGGGCATTCAAGCACAGGGCATTCAAGCACAGGGCATTCAAGCACAGGGCATTCAAGCACAGGGCATTCAAGCACAGGGCATTCAAGCACAGGGCATTCAAGCACAGGGCATTCAAGCACAGGGCATTCAGGCACAGGGCATTCAAGCACAGGGCATTCAAGCACAGGGCATTCAAGCACAGGGCATTCAAGCACAGGGCATTCAAGCACAGGGCATTCAGGCACAGGGCATTCAAGCACAGGGCATTCAAGCACAGGGCATTCAAGCACAGGGCATTCAAGCACAGGGCATTCAAGCACAGGGCATTCAAGCACAGGGCATTCAAGCACAGGGCATTCAAGCACAGGGCATTCAAGCACAGGGCATTCAAGCACAGGGCATTCAAGCACAGGGCATTCAAGCACAGGGCATTCAGGTTCTTGTGGATCAACCTTGAACACAACAAAATCATCTCAGACAAAGCTGAGACAAATGTGGAAATTACTGATCTTCAATCTCTTTTAACAAAATATGTTTGACTCAAACCTGCGCAGGCGCAGGTCCAACTGTTCAGTTGGATTTGACTTCGAAACCCGTTTGTGATGCTCCAAGAGGTTTAGCATGGAACCTTGGACACCCAAAGCAGAAATTGCAGGGACTTCTATCAGATCCACGGCAGATCCTGTTGCCGAACCGGTTCTGTTTGAACCTTGGTGTTGGTTCAACAGTCAACTCGACTGGTGTACAGGCTCCACTCGATTGCGGTACTTGCTCAACCCTACCTGTGACTGACCTAAGATTGACCTGAAACTGACCTGCAGCTGACCTGCAGCTGACCTGCAGCTGACCTGCTGCTGACCTGCTTGTGATTGCGGATTACCTGGGGTAGTACCTTGGCAGTCAGTGCGCCCATCCTGGGGGCAAGCGTCAGTGCCAGCACAATAGGGCTCTGGCGGTCTCTTCTTGTCATGCTATGCTCCATTCACACATCAAACGCTATCAGCTGCTGCGAGAGGAAGCTGTTGGGCTGGCACGCAGGAAGAGGCGAGGCCTGGGGGAGAAAAAGGTTCGGTCAGCACGAGAGAGAAGTGAGTGACAGACGAATTTTTGATGAGTGAATGAGTGAATGAGTGAATGCTCGGACGCAAGAAACCTAAAAGCACGGGCTCAAGGATGGTTGTGATGTGAAGATTGACGAGACAACAGGCAAGCTGCCAGCTTACATCAAAGCGTTGGAGTTTTGGTGCAAAATGCACTACAGTAAGCCAAGAAGCTGATTCATTGGACCTTGCTTTAATATGCACCGAAGTCACCCACCGGAGGCACTCACCGGAGGCACTCACCTGAGCCACCCACCTGAGTCACCCACCTGAGCCTCCCACCTGAGCCACCCACCTGAGTCACTCACCTGAGCCACCCACCTGAGCCACCCACCTGAGCCACCCACCTGAGTCACTCACCTGAGCCACCCACCTGAGCCACCCACCTGAGCCACCCACCTGAGCCACCCACCTGAGTCACTCACCTGAGCCACCCACCTGAGCCACCCACCTGAGTCACCCACCTGAGTCACCCACCTGAGCCACCCACCTGAGTCACCCACCTGAGCCACCCACCTGAGTAGTGTCCATGTGTTCAACTGACCTCAACATGTAGCTTGCTGCTTTTCAATGTCACTCAAGGTGCAGGTGAAGCAATCATGGGAAACCACAGAAGCTCAGCAGCACCAGGCCTACAGCTTGACCCCAAACTTCTCCTCGAACTGCTTGTCTGAGCAGTGGAGAAACTGGCGCAAACACACTGCCCTTGTTGTCCCCTCCAACTTCACAAGCTGCTGCTCTGTACCATCTCTCCCCCCTGGCTCGTGAGTGCCCAGAAGTTCCTCAAGTGGCACTTCTCTACCACCATCCTCCTCCCCTCCGCCCTGCTGCTCGTTGCTGTCACCCGTTCTTTCGCACTTTCTGTTTTCCGCTCCCCATTCAAGCCCCTCCACTCCCTCCATTTCATCAGAAGGCGAGGAAACAGAGACCAGCTTGCTTCTCTGTTCCCCAGCTTCTAACGAAAAATCCCTCCTCTCTCCAACACTCATCCGACTAACCATCTCATGTGCCACAACCGCATAGCCCATTCGCACCAGTGCCACATGCCGCGGCCTGATCCGTCGATCTAAATTGAACCCAAGAAATTGACGGTAGGCAAGAACCTCCTTTATAGAGAGGCCCATGTCCCGTTTTAAGTACTCCACCTTGTGCTTCAGATTCTTTTTCCAGCTGCAGCGGATAGGAAAAGGGTACTTTACTACCAAATCCACCACCAACAGATGAGCCCTACATCTCTTGTCACCTCCAGCTGAGTTAAACGCTCTCGACTCATTCTCCCCTTCCAAGCAATTACCTCTCTCACCCTCCTCCAACCTTTGTATCCCACTCCCCTCTTCACCACTGCCCTCCAATACTTCTTTCACTTCTCGCACAAGCTCGCTGAAAGTCTCCTTCATGACATCTTCACTAGAAGATAGTAGCGAAGGAAACTGTCCCACCACCCGCACAGCATTCTCTCGCCCAATCAGCTCAACCAATGCCGCCACCTTGCGTTGCAGGTTCTCCTTCGATAGTTCCAGAACCCAAGGGTGACTCCTCGCCACTCTTCCGGTTGCCTCCTCCCCCACCAGCTCCACAAAGAACTGGAGCTTAGCTAAAAGATTTTCTGAGCTAAGAAAAACGATGGCAGGGGCCCGCCAAAGCACAGAGGGGGCGTCTGGGGAAATCAAAGACTGCGGCTCTTCTAGTTGATGCTTCAGGAGGGATGAGCTGGTGCTATCTGCTTCTACCTTTCCTCCTGATCCCACTTTGAAAAAACGTGATAACCTCTCAAGCTGAATATTCACCGCCTCTTTTCCCCAAGTCAAGATGGACGGAAATCCCTCTATAATCACACCCAGCTTGTCCACAGGAACCCCTGCTTTTCCCACCAGAATGTCCAGGTTCGTTGAATGTGCCTCCCGGCGAAGTAAGCTGCGTCCACGTCGGAGCACCGAGCCCAATCTGCTTCGGCGGACGCCTTGAGCCAAAAGAAAATCAAGGGTGTTATGAATCCGTGCAAGGGAGGTCCGGAGCCAGGCTGCATCCCTCACTGTGACGTGGACGATGTCAGCATGACCTATGCCATATGACTGGAGGAGACGGACACGTGGCAGAAAGTCATTGGTGGGATTGGACCGGAGCAGTTGGGGGTGGGAGGCGAGGAGGGAAGCGACAGCCGAAGGGGAGGAGATGCCGAGGTGGGAGGAGAAGAAGCGGTAGAGGGAGAGGAGGGAGGAGGGAGATACGACCCGCCGGTTGTACAACAGAGGAGGGTGTGTGGGAGGAGATGTGTCAGGTGGTGTGTCTTCCTCACACGTCCCTGCTTCTGCATCCTCCTCATACTTCTCTTTTTCCGCCTCCTCATCGTCCCCCTCCCACCCCTCCTCCTCCTCCTCCTCCTCTTTCACTTTCTCAGCGCTCCCCCACTCCTCCACCTCCTCGCTCACGATCTGAGGCCCGAATTTCTCTCTCAGCACTCCAGCAATCACTGCCACTGCCTCCTCCTCCTCCTTGCAGCCTCCCGTGCTGTAGCTCTTCCTCCCGCCTCCCTCACTCTTCCCCGCTGCATTGCCCGCTACTACCCTCTCAACCCTCTCATCCCCACCTCCATCTTCTCCCCCTTTCACTTTCCTGATGCTCCTCTGACCTCCTCCCCCATCCCTCCTGTCCTCGTCCACTGTACGCGTTTTAAGCTGCGCTTGCACCGCTATTAGAGGCTTGCTTCCAGGAAGTGATTTCGGCCCGAAGATAGCAGTCTCCGCCTCGGAAGCATCTGCGTCTGCTGGCCTGGAAGGCGCACCAGCGACGGACCATGCCGCGACGTGGAATGAGAAGGTATTTTGGGGCGCCTTGAAGCTTCGGCCTGGGGTTTGGATTTGAAGAGATGCGTTTCGCGCAGGGTCGTTTGGATGCGATCCGATCCGATCGAGGCTTGGCAAGGAAGAAACATAAGATCGCGATGCGATTCGGTGTGCTTGAGGTATCTCATAGGTAATTAATCTGGAAGTCGAACCGACAAATGGCCGCGACATACGAGATAGGACTAGCCATAGCGACCGGCGGGCTGATCTACGCGAGGCGACGTAGACGTTCATGAATTCCTTTCCGTTGCCTACGTCGATTGTTGAGAACTTCGTGTATGCCTGTTTCCTCGCTAACCCTAACTGGCTAGTGACGCGAAACGTGAAGTTAAATTTGCGTGTGCGGATTTAATATTCGAAATCTGAAGATTATCGGAAAACGATTTCAGAGGATGATTGATGCCTCGAGCTGCTATTTCAGCTGGCATCTAGCTACTCCATAATGTGCGAACTTCTCTGATTCAGTCTCGTAGCTACCGACGGGATCAGCAGTGTGACGATCACAAAGGTCAAGGGGTGCGGCTTTATCAGGTGCTGTGCGTTCACAAAAGGTCATTCAAGTATTCAGAGTGGCTGAGCTAGGTTCTAAGCAAATCCCTCTTTCCTTTCTGTAAACGAACCATCATCAATGTTGGGATCTCGTTTGTGTAGTCCCTACTCCTCACACATACGGAACCGTTTTTCGTTTTATTGCAAGTTTTGGTAACAAGGTGTTACAGCAATCAATGAAATGAACTTCGAGTTCTGGATTCCTGCATTCGACATTGAGCACAAATGTTCAGGATCACTCACTTTCAAACCGCCAACACAACGAACCTTTTGCGTCCCGTCCGAACGAACCCGGCCGCTCATTTGATCCCGTAATTGCTACCCGAAAGTGAAGTCTTCAGCACTTTCAGAATCTCGAGCATGAGCTACCATCCCCGCTGTCGCCAGAGCGAGATTCGAGCAGCAACTCATCAGGTCCGTTCTTAGGAGTTCTTCGCTACGAACGCGCAAATACATGCGCCACCAGGGTATAAAGCGGTTGACGAGATGGGAGATATTGCTGTCATTTCGCACAGCCTCGATGTCGCCACTGACCACGAAAGTGGCGACGCGCGAAGTTAGTATTAGGGTTACGTGCTTAGAATTTGTCGCAGAAACGAGGCCGCTCTGGTTTTGCGGTGCGCGAATTTCCACCGTGGGTTTGTCAAGGAGCGTGATGGCGAAACATAATCGTCCCTTCCTCACCCTACTATTTTCACGCGCCACCGCAATTCCGTGATGGCTCCCGCCGCCGCATTCGCCATTGATTTGGGTGGGCGCATGGCTGAGTTTGACAACAGGTTGAATGAATACGCGCCGCCCCAGCTGACGGTTTCTCAGCTGACGGTCTCTCAGCTGACGGCGGCAGGGCGACAGAGGTAAGAAAAGCTGAGCAGGATGTGACGACACCGTCTTCCTGTCCCACCCAAATGGTGTAGATTAATGAAGGGCTGCTGATCTTGCACCCATGCAAGATCAGCAGCCCACCATGCAAATGGTGTAGATTATTAAAAGTATTTTCTCTATTCCCATCCATTTTTCGTTGCACCCATGCCTCTATCCTTTGCACCTTTCGTCTATTTAAAACCAGTAATGCGCTTCGGGTGCAACTTTGCTGACCAGCGCAAAACATTTAGCTATCTTCAACGCCCCCCTCCTTGCACAGCGGTACGCCCTACACTCTTCGCCCTCTCTCCCACTCCCCTATGCTCACTTCGCTACCCACTCCAGCAGCACCTGTCTTGTGCTAGTTGTGAGAGCAGAAGAGAGAAGACACGGAGGCAACAATTTGAGATTGTTCTTGCCGATCAGTACGCCCCTGCCTTCTTTTGCACCCCCCCACTCCCCCCTCACCCCTTTTCACTTACCACACCAACAGCACCTGTCCTGTGCTAGCCGTGGGATAAGGGGAGCAGAGGGCGGTGGTAACAAACTCCAATTTTGTTTGAACTCGCTTCGAGTGGGGAGAAGCTGGAGACATGGGAGGAAATGAGATGAAGAGGAGGTAAGTCGGAGGGAGGTGATTGAGGAAAGGAGAGCGCCAGATTGAGCGCTGAATGTGCGTGCTGAATGTGCGTGCTGAATGTGCGTGCTGAATGTGCGTGCTGAATGTGCGTGCTGAATGTGCGTGCTGAATGTGCGTGCTGAATGTGCGTGCTGAATGTGCGTGTTGAATGTGCGTGCTGAATGTGCGTGCTGAATGTGCGTGCTGAATGTGCGTGCTGAATGTGCGTGCTGAATGTGCGTGCTGAATGTGCGTGCTGAATGTGCGTGCTGAATGTGCGTGCTGAATGTGCGTGCTGAATGTGCGTGCTGAATGTGCGTGCTGAATGTGCGTGCTGAATGTGCGCCCTGAATGTGCGCCCTGAATGTGCGCCCTGAATGTGCGTGCGCCCTGAATGTGCGCGACGAGAGGTCAGTGAATGGGAGCAGAAGAATGAAACGACAGTGCTATCTGTTGCTGAGACTGCGCCAACATATTGGCCTGACCACTGCAACTGCTCAGTCTTGGTTGGCCTGCCACTGTCTCGGCGCCACAGCATAAGACATGTCGCAGACAACACAGAACAACAGGGACACACGGTAAGCAGACATGCGTGCAAAGGAGCCTATTTACGGCCCACGATAATGTTGCATTGTCGTTTGAAAATGGCTGAGGATGTCAATCGATCCTGCCCCTACTTCTCCGGTGTTGCATCCTATCCTCCGCACACCCACTGGCACTTCTATGAATGTTTGCAGAGAAGGCAGATTGAATACAAGCCCTACATCTATGTGCGTAAGTGCTGCTGACTGTGAGCGGTGGGAGAGCCGAGAGGTCAGTGGGTGGGAGCAGAAGAACGGCACTGACAGTGCTATCTGCTGCTGAGCCTGCGCCTGCATATTGGCCTACTCGGGCTTAGCCTGACCACTGACACGGGATAAGACGTGTCAGGGACAACACAGAACAGCAGGGACACACACAGTAAGCAAGCATAAGGAGCCAATTATGGGCCCACAGTAATGTTCCATGTCACCTGAACCACCTGGAATGGCACTTGAAAGCTCTCCTGCCAGAGGCACATGACAACACCTGAGAGCGTGTGTTGCTTGTTCCACCTGACAGCTCGTGAGCTCGTCAGCTCGTCATCGAAGCTATCCGAGGATTCGTCAGCTGGCTTGACAAGCCGTCACCTCATCGAGCGTGTGTTGTGCCACGGCGCCACCTGACAGGCAGACAGCTCATCAGCTCGTAGCCTCGTAGTCATAATTATCCGATGAGTTGCCAGCCCGCTTGACAAGCTGTCAGCTCGTCGATGAGCCAAGGTCGTTTTGACACAATATCTAGTATCCGCCCCGGAAAATCTGTGTTTGGGGGATCCATTAGACGGCAACAGACGTGACTACACCGCAACAGTTATGTGCTTCCTTTCTTCATGTGATGCTGGGAATGCGTTCCTCCCTTTGCATCTTTGCCTTTCCAGCCCCATTTTGGTGCTTCTGCTGCTGATTCAATGTCGAGGCAGAATGAATATGAGCACTGGCTTTGCTTTATGCAATGCCGCCAGCTTTCTAGCACTCCCTCTCCTTGTTCAGCAGTGCGCCCACCCCTTCTTTCCTTGCTCCCTCCCTGACCTTGTTCCCTCTCTCCCCCGCACTCTCTTCCCCTTTCCACATCAACAGCACCTGCCTTGGACTAGTCCTATGAAAGCCAGCTGGTTGCTGAGACACACAGCCAGGCGGCATGGCAGGGGCGCGTGGTTCAGCAGCTGCAGGAGGGAGGCAAAATACATGGATGTGAGAGCTAGCTGAACGCTCGCTGCGACATTGTGGGGTTAGCTGCACGTCGTGAGCTAAACACATGCGGCTCGTAGGCGCTACGTGAAGAATGAAGCAGTACAAGCTTTTGCCAAGTAGGATGTATGTAAACCTGTGGGGAGCTTTACAGGAGACATTCCATCTTAAAATTTTCACTCGTCTGACTGCTGCTCGCAGTTCAGAATGCCGTATGTGCATCACCAGGTGGTTGTCCTGCATTGCATTGTCACAATTCTTGCTGCTGTTGAATTGCCGCTTCTTTCCAAAGCCCCCCCCCCCCTTGCCCCCGCCCTTTGCCGCCACACCCCATCTCCTCCCATGTGCATTCATTGTTTACTCACATTCCTACATCCGTCCCTCCTTCCGTTTTCTCAAAACCTCGCATTCTTCCTGATTTCGTTAGGTCCCCCGTCGCCCCATTCACCTCTCTCCTCTCTCACTCCCCCTCCTTCCTTCTCCCCCCCTCCCCACCCGAACCCCCCAACTCTCTTCTGCGTTTTAATCTCAGCAGCTCACTCTATGGCCCTGACGCTCCTCCCAAGCTTGCCATGTATTTGCACACTTCACTCAAGCATTAGTGGTCGAAGCACAAGTCGTTTTTCCACTGTGTTGGTGGGTGGGGAGAGAGGGTGAAGCGGCACATGGAGCTGACCTCCCCACAGAACCCTTCGGCATCGCGAGGTACCTACCTTTCAAATCCCCACATTATTCCCACCCCCTTTCCCATGCTTTCCATCGCCTTTCGTGTCCCTCACATTTTGCATTTCTGTCTTCCAGTCCCTCTTTTTCTTCAACCTTCCTCCTTCTCGTCTCCATTCCTCCCGTCTCGCTATCACCCAATTCCCCCTCCATCCCCCACTCCTCCTCCCGCTGCTCACATCTCTCGTATTCCCTTCCTCCGCAACCCCCACCACCCCAACCCTCACCCCACCCTTGCTCCCTCCGTTTCCCTCCCCCTACTCCCTCGTCCCTCTCCCACTCATGGTTGTAAGCTGGTTGCAGCAGAGAGGCACCTCAACCGCAACCCCACCTTTCCTTTCCCTTTTCCACCTCCCCTTTTCCACCTTCCCCTCTCTCCCCCTCCCCCCCCCCCCCCCCCTCAGCACTCACCCCCCTCCCCTTTATCTCCCATCTCCACGCGGCTGCTTCTAAAAGTCGCCTCGGCATTAATGCATGGCGTACAGGGAAGTGAGGTTGTTAAGGCGGTCATATCAGAGGTGATGCTAAAATGGAGTGAGGGGTAACTCTCAAAGGTAAAACTGATGGGGGAAACTGAGGTGTCGAGCCAAATCAGCAGCGATGTCAGTGTGCTCTAGGCATCTTAGCAACAACAGCTCATCACATTGCTCATTTCTAGAAGGATTGTACATGCGCGTCAAGTCTTTCCTGCTCTTCATGGGATTGTACATGCGCGTCAAGTCTTTCCTGCTCTTCATGGGATTGTACATGCGCGTCAAGTCTTTCCTGCTCTTCATGGGATTGTACATGCGCGTCAAGTCTTTCCTGCTCTTCATGGGATTGTACATGCGAGTCAAGTCTTTCCTGCTCTTCATGGGATTGTACATGCGCGTCAAGTCTTTCCTGCTCTTCATGGGATTGTACATGCGCGTCAAGTCTTTCCTGCTCTTCATGGGATTGTACATGCGAGTCAAGTCTTTCCTGCTCTTCATGGGATTGTACATGCGAGTCAAGTCTTTCCTGCTCTTCATGGGATTGTACATGCGCGTCAAGTCTTTCCTGCTCTTCATGGGATTGTACATGCGAGTCAAGTCTTTCCTGCTCTTCATGGGATTGTACATGCGCGTCAAGTCTTTCCTGCTCTTCATGGGATTGTACATGCGCGTCAAGTCTTTCCTGCTCTTCATGGGATTGTACATGCGCGTCAAGTCTTTCCTGCTCTTCATGGGATTGTACGTGCGAGTCAAGTCTTTCCTGCTCTTCATGGGATTGTACATGCGCGTCAAGTCTTTCCTGCTCTTCATGGGATTGTACATGCGCGTCAAGTCTTTCCTGCTCTTCATGGGATTGTACATGCGCCAGCCTCCCTCCTCCCAGATGCTGTGGAACTGCAGTTTCCTTCATCCCAGATAGCAGTTTTTGCATAGCGGAATGAAAAAAAAAGGAACTTTGTAAGTATCAAAACCATTCCAGGAAAATAGAAAATGCTACTGGATGGCATGCCGATGCTACAACCTTTGCCTTCGCTCCTGCCTCCTGTTTCCCCTCTCCCTAGTGACGGCAACTGGCATGGGGCAGGAGTGGCCGTATTGAGAGGTGGCACTGCTGCTGCTGTGGGAGTATGGGCGGGAAGCAGGTAGGTGCAGCCTCAGGTGGAGGTGAGTGGTGGGGAAGGAGGGAGGGGAGGGATGGACTGGGAAGGGAGGGAGGAGGAAGAGACGTGTAAGGGGGATGTGGGAGTTGGGAGGTGAGGCGCTCAAATTACACAGAACTAACTTCCGCCCTTCTTCTCTCCACTTCTCCCGCCGCTTGTCCCCTCCTTCCCGCCGATTCCCACGAGCTGCTCTCCTCCTTTTTCTCACAGCTGGCTTCCACTCTTCCCCTCCCATCGCTCTGAAACAGCCACTTCTTGCCATTCGTCTCCTCTCCTCTTCTCCCGCCTCTCATCCCGCCCCCAGCAGGTGCTCTCCTCCGTGCTGGCACAGCTAGCCTCGGGTCTCTCCCATCCATCGCTCCGACACGACGTTCTGCGCCACCTGCTCGCCGCCTGCTCGCCACCTGCGCTGCGCTGAGGTGGCCATCGCCACAGAGGCGGAGGGGGGCAGGTGAGACGGCTGGGCAGAAGGAGTGCATGCATCTTGTCATGTTCATTGCCTGCTCGCCACCTGCCATGCGCTGAGGTGGCCCTTGCTACAGTGGCGAAGGAGTTAGGCGAGCAGAGGGGGGCAGGTGAGCAGAGGGGATCAGGTGATTGGGCCAGGCAGAACAAGGGTGTGGATCTTGGCCGTTGCAGTGTGTGTGCTCGCCTCTTACCCGTGTAGTACCCTACCTGCCTCGTGCCTGCCTCTTGTCATCCCAACTCCTTCCTTCTTCCCCATCCCTGGCCTGGCCTCTCCCGCTCCACCTCCATCCCCATATGTATGTCTTGATGCGGAGTGCTTAAGCCCCCCAGTAGTACTTTCTACCTGTCACCACGGTGACCGGGTTAACTGTTCCACTCCACATGACTTTGGCACCGCTCCACACACCCCTCTCAAAAACGTATGCCCCTTACTTCCCACTTCATCAGCTGTGGAGCAGAGCTTTTGGGCCCGTTGCTGCCAGCAGTGGCAGCGGCGTGTCGTCACGTGGAGTGGACCCTTTATACCGCCCAGCAGACCCCTAGTTGCAGCGCCTCTTCCGCCTTGGCCCCCCCTCCACTCCTCCCCCGCCGCCGCCGCCGCTGCCGCCGCCGCCGCCGCCGCTGCCGCCGCCGCCGCCGCCGCTGCCGCCGCCGCCGCTGCCGCCGCCGCCGCTGCCGCCGCCGCCGCTGCCGCTGCCGCCGGCCCGCCGCCGCTGCTGCCGCTGCAGCCACTTCTGCCGAAGGTGCCGCTGGTGCAGCAGCAAGCAGCACTGCTGCTGCTGCTGGTTTGCCTGATGCTGCTGCTGGGAGTGGTGGCCGGGGCTTGTCTGGTTCCCCGTCGCCCAACCCTCCAGAGGTGCTGGCGACGTGCTCCGGTGGTGGGTGAGGTGGCAAGGGGGGAGGGGGGGGGGGAGGAAGTGTGGACGACTTGACCAAGGGGCCTTATGCGTGGCGGCATGAGTGGGCTGCTGCTATGATGCAGATCGCTGCTCATACTCCTCCCCTGGTATGTGCCCCTCACACACATAGTCGCACAACAAGACAGATGCACAAGCACACCAAGCAGGCAAGCAGACAGACACACAGGTGGACAAGCAGACGAACGAACAAAGCGCACAGGCACACAATCATGCATTAGCAACTGTAACTGCACAAGAGATCCTCACATTTAGGGCGTGTCTCTTTTTTGCTCCCGACGGTTCGAACCGTGGACGGTCCGAACTGCGAAGAGGTTACCTGCTTCGCTTATTTTCGTGAAGAGCTTCGTGAAAATATTTGCGACGTCTCCAACAATCCGAACCGTGGCGTCACTTTTCACTCCTTTCAACGGTTCAGAATCTGAACCCTTGACAGTTTGGAAACCAAACGGACGGAGCAACAGTACTGACTAGAGATTGGAGGGCGAAAACTTTCTAAAACGTGAAATTAGATTGGCACACGAATCTCGAAGAATCTGTCGTGACTTGTGTAATGACGCTACAAAACCCATAACGAATCAACAGTGCTTCGTGAAATTCAAAACACTGAAAAATTGACAGCATTGCATCTGGACGGGGCAAAGTTCCGAAATGGCAATTCGGACAGTCCGGTTCTCGCTATTAGGACTGTCCGGTACCAAAAGAGAGAACCGTCCGAAAAAATAGTAAAAAGCAAAAAAGAGACACGCCCTTAGACTCTGTTGTCCTCGCAGTTGAGGTGTCTGACATGTGCTCAGATCTGCCAGGCCCGCGTGTGCTGGTGGATGGAGGGTGGGTGGACGGTGCTCTCGCCGTGGTGCACCACCCCTCTGTGCAGGCAGGGGGCGCCTTCTCGCGCCCACTGGTTGGATGGCGAGCTGGAGCTTGCAGTGCTGCATCGCCCCGGCAGCCAGAGGGGCAGCGGGAATGAGCAGGCAGCTACCAGGCAGCGTCAGGTGCTGGGCGCTTATCCTCTCCTCCCTCTCCCCCCACCCCCCCCCCCCCCCCCCCCCTCCCCCTCTGTGGCTACCGCTTGCCCCCATATTTCCCTTGCTGCTTTCGCGTATCCCCTCCTTCCCCTGCCACTGCCCCTCTCCTTCCACTGATCCTTCTGTCTCCCTTCCCTCCCTGCTCCTACCACACCTAACTGCGCTTTACTCATTGTGTTGTCCTCCACCCTTGGTCTGCCCGGCACTTTCATCACGTCGTAAATTTCCAAGCTGAGGGTTTGATTGATGGTTCCATTCTGCGCCATGCATCCACATCATCAGTAAACCAAGGAGCCAAACTTTTATTCTACATGATACAATACAAGAGCCTCTCCTGGCTATGGAGACGAGACGAGTGCGTTTTGCACTCTAAACGTGCCTGCCTCTTGTCACCCCAACCCCTTCCTTCTTCCCCATCCCCGCCCTCTCTCCTGCTCCACCTCCATCCCAATATATCTTGATGCGGAGTGCTTAAGCCCCCCAGTAGTACTTTCTACCTGTCACCACGGTGACTGGGTTAACTGTTCCACTCCACATGACTTTGGCTCCGCTCCACACACCTCTCTCTAAAATGCTTCACCCCTTGGCCCCTTCCCACTTCATCAGCCGTGGAGCAGAGCTTTTGGGCCGTTGCTGCCAGCAGTGACAGCGGCGTGTCGTTATGTGGACCCCTCTATACCGCCCGGTGGACCCCTCCCTGCACCGCCCTCCCTGCACCGCCGGGTTGACCCCTCCCTGCACTACAGCGCCCCTTCCGCAACCTCTGCTTCTTCTGCGCCCTCTTCCGCCTCGCCCCGCCCTTCCACTCCTCCCCAGCCTCTGCCGCTGCCGCCGCCGCCGCTGCTGCTGGGGGTGGTGGGCGGGGCTTGTCTGGTTCCCTGTCGCCCAACCCTCCAGGGGTGCTGGTGACGTGCACCAGTGGTGGGGGAGGTGGCAAGGGGGGGGGAGGGGAGGAGTGCGGACGACTTGACCAAGGGGCCTTATGCGTGGCGGCTTGAGTGGGCTGCTGCTATGATGCAGATCGCTGCTCATACTCCTCCGCTGGTATGTGCTTCCCGCACACATAGATGCACAAGAAGACAGATGCACAAGCACACAAGCAGACAGACACACAAGTGCACAAGCAGACGAATGAACAAAACGCACAGACACACAAGCACACAAGCATGCACCAGCACCTATAACTGCACAAGGGATCCTCACATTTAGACTCTGGGTTTCTCGCCGTCAGGGTGTCTAACATGTTTTCAGAGCTGCCAGACCCGCGTGCGCTGCTGGAGGATAGTAACCTGCGTATCCGATCACTTCTTCCTTCATTTTTGCTGCTATCCATGCCTCTCCCTTAGCGCCATGTCACTATCCACGCCTGGTGCCCACTGTGCTGACAAGGCACCATCAACATGGGCAACGCTTTTCTGCGCATCTCATTCCCACGCTGGCTCTCGCCGCCATGTGCGGGGATGCACCTGCCACCTGGAAGTATGAAATCTATTTAAAGAATTTCACTTCTACTGCATCCATCTGAAATGCGGTAGCAACAGAAAGTGCAGCAGTAGCATCGTCCACCAGCACGATTCCATGGCGGAATCTGGTAGCAGGTCATTTTTTGGATTTTTTTTTGTATTCGCCTCCTTTGCCCCTGTTTTCCGCCGCTCAACCCCCTTTTTTCCCCCTGGCCGGAAAATACTTTTGCCTTCCCGAACCAAGCGTACATCTATCTTCCAGGGATGGAGATAAGAGCGTCCAGCGTATAAACGCTAGCGCCTGGACGCTGTTATATAACGCTGGACGCTTCCACTTAGGTTTGCAGCATGGATCACGGTGAGTGTATTGAGGGGTTCACTAGAGTGGTTACACCAGTGGGGGTCACTGTGACTAAAAAGAATGTGCTGCAATCGCTGGCTCTAAGTGCAGCCCGTCTGTCTGCCTGCAGGGCTGGTTGGTTGGAGTTCGTGGGAGTCAGTAGGAATGGGCGAAGTGGCGTGTGGAGGCAGTAATGAGCCGACTCAGAATTCACCTCCACCTCCCCCTCCCTTCCCCCTTCCCCTCCCCCTCCTCTTCGGTGCATCCCCAGGGCTGGTTGGAGTGGCGTGGGAGTATCAGTGGGAGTGGGCGGAGTGGTGTTCGGGGGCAATATTGAGCGGACTCATTATTCACCTGCACCTTTTCCCCTCCCTCTCACCTCCACCTTTCCCCCTCCCTCACCTCCACCTTTCACCCTCCTCCTCACCTCCACCTTTCCCCCTACCCCTCCCCCTCCCCATTCCCATCCCCATCCCATCCTCCCCATGCATCTCCAGGGCTGTTGGAGTTCGTGGGGACGTCGGTGGGAGTGGGCGAAGTGGCGTTTGGGGGTAATATTGAACCGACTTAAGAGTTACCTCCACCTTCCCCCCCCACCCCCCCCCCACCCCCCCCCCCCACCTCCACCTTTCCCCCCCCTCCCCTTCCCCATCCCCCCATGCATTCCCAGTGCTGGGTATTCGTGGAAGAATCGGTGGGAGTGTACGGGTGGCGTTTGGGGGAATTGAGTATCGTTGACTGCCTGTCTGTGGCGCTCATTCCAGTTTGCGCGGCCATCAACATGCTTCCCATCAAGCGCTTGGGGCAGCAAATGCTGGCCGTCGGCACAGTGGTGCAGGTGAGGGGAATAGATAGATCGTCCATGGGTGGTGCAAGTGCAACTTACCTATGCCCCCATCTCTGTTCATTCTAGTCTGTGCAGCCAAACCGTTGCTGGACGTGCTGAAGGCACCAGCGTTGAGGCAGCTTAATATGGGTTGTTGTGCTCAGTGAGAAGCGCCATAGCTGTGAAGGCATGGGCTTGGTTGACACTGTGCACACGGATTGACTTTATAGGGTCTTCCACCCAATGGTTAGAAGCTGTGCGTGACCGCAAGGGCTGTAGTATGGGCTGCAGCTGTATGTGTACCTCCTCTACTTCTGTCATAAACATCCCTGAAGCTTCAAGAAGAGTGAAGACCAAGAGAAGATCAAGGTTATCTTGTAAATATTTTCGGATTTAGACCTCTATGAAGCTTGGATGCTTGTTGTATGCTCTGGATTTGACCTCTGGATAGTTAGCATGGGTAAGCATCGGGACGATGCTTCTTGGGGAGGGGAATTATGTTACAAGTTGGGACTCCCCACTGCATTGCTAAGCTACCGAATAGGGATATGTGCCAACCTCGGAGCATACTCTCGTATCCTTGTCAACCTACTAGAAGGTACTACAGTCCAACAGAGGCGCTATGCCAAGATGCCATGCTAGATGCGTGGCGACACGGTATTTCCCATCCGAATCGCCTTCCTACTTTCTAGCATAAATATCTTCATTGTTTCTCAATTGTATCATCAGGATCTTCTATTATAATCCAAGAACCTCTTTCTTGCTTCTTCTCTCAACAACTCTATCATCACGTCTCTACTAGGCAGCCTAGTTTCTTCTATTCCACTACGAGACTCTCTTAACATATCTCTTCGCTACGGCGCAGCTCTCCCTAGTCGCCATGGCCGGTCCAATCAGCCGCGCCGTGCGGCAGCGCCGTAGCCCTGTTTCAAGCAGTGGCAACTGTGGTGAAAGCAACGGCACCTCGTACCGCGGGAGCAGCGGGAGCAGTGGCGTTGAGGATCGCTGCGAGGCTGCGAGACCGCGGTCTCTTCCTACTGCAAACCTCCCCATCCAGCTACTGGTCACCGGCAACTCCAAACCGCACCTTCGGCATTCCGCACCTCTCCAGAGCCGGCTCCCTGCAACTCTCCAGAGCCGGCTCGCTGCTGCACCCCCCCTCCTCCGGCTCGCCGCTGCACTCCCCCTCCTTCTGCTCGCCGCTGCACCCCCCTTCCTTCTGCTCGCCGCTGCACTCCCCCTCCTTCTGCTCGCTGCTGCACTCCCCCTTCTTCTGCCCGCTGCTGCACTCCTCCTCCTACTCGTTGCTGCACTACCCCTCCTTTTGCTCGTTGATGCACTCCCCAGTCCCGATGCTGCACTCCCCCTCCTTCTGCTCGCTGCCGCACTCCCCAGTCCCGATGCTGCACTCCCCCTCCTCTAATGGAGGGGAGGGGGATGGAGGTGGTGGATTGGGGAGCTTCTCGCCACCCAGGCCCCTTGTTTCAGATACCGCTTCAGCCGTGGGTCTTGTGTGTGCGACGAGGAACGGCCGGATATGTGGCGCGACTTCGCAGCACGCACGCAGGATCGCCTCTCTGACCGCATCCACCACCCTGGTTTCGCTATATACATACCCCGAGCCCCAAGGGATAAAAACGGCGTCATCGGCCTCCACATTCCGATCCTCGTCATCGACCACCACATTCCGATCCTCGTCAGCGGCCACCAAATTCCGATCCTCGTCAGCGGCCACCACATTCTGACCCTCGTCATCGGCGTCATCGGCCACCACATTCCGATCCTCGTCATCGGCGACATCGGCCACCACATTCCGATCCTCGTCATCGGCGTCCACGCCTTCCGATGTTGCCGCGTTCTCAAAGCCGTTGAAATATAGGAGCATCACCAAGAACACGTCGAGGCCGGCAAGCAAGTCCTTCTGCTCGGCCGCGATAGCGTCGACCTTGACCATCAACACGACGTCCTGCAATCCCGGCCAGGTGGTCGGGACACGGGCAAAGCGTCTAGCTGCACCCCGCCCACGTGCAGCAGTGGCGCCGGCTGCCATTCTCGTCGCGCCAGCGTCTGTTGCCCCCCCCCCCCCCGCCCCGTAGTCGGTTTTGCCTGCCGCTCCCACCGCCCCGCTGGTTGCGCCGTTGCCAACGCGCACCCTCCTGCCGCGGCGGACGCAAGTCCTGGGATCCGAGTTGCTGCGCGGCCCGGTTGCCGCCTGTACATTGGTCGTGTCCAGGGTGCTCTCCAGATCCTGAGAGCGTTCGATGGACGCTCTCTTTACTGTGCTGAGGAGAGCCCCGAAGCCGTCCACACCTCCGTCCGGGCCCTCCTCCACACGACGAGGGGAGAGTTCGTCGGAGCTGGAACACACGGACGAGCACAAGTCGACCTCGGCCTGATCCTCCTCTGTGACGTGGGAAACACATGGGGGGGTTAAGCCTCTGCGATGCACGTGCAAATCTTCGTCAACGATCGAGAAAATGTAAAAAGCGTGTGGACAGAGCTCAGAGGCAAGGATTTGCGACGCGCACTCACGTGATGAATCATCCGAGATTGTGTACGCAAGCGGGGAAGGCGGCGTATGCTCCGTCATGTCGCAACGAACGTCGTTGCGCTTTGGACACGGGATCCCCATTGGACAAGCGGTGTTAGCGGGAGCGCCTGGGGCATCGTGCAACTTATGGTGCGTTTTCGCGAGAGTGTGCGCTCTACTCGCATCCAGGGACCTTCGCTGCTCCGTGTCGCGTCTCTGGGCATCAGACGTTCCGGTTGCCCCACACGTCTCCATACCGTCGCGGTGATTCGTCTAGCTTTCGCAGGTTCCGGACCCGTAGCGAAATCTATCTGGCGGGATGCTGTAGATAACCCCAAGAGAAGATGACGAGAGCTATGCCTGGCGTGCAAAATAGGGTAAAGGAAAAGTGGGATGGTGAAGGAGCAAGGAAGGTGTCTCACGTGTAAAGTTAAAAAGGTAAAAGGGGGAGGTTTTTGGGCTGTCGAGATTGAGTTTTCTAAATCACGACGACTTAAAAAATAACCGGGTCCGGGCCGGGCACGTGTTCAATTCAACAATCATTTCCTTGGCTCGTAGACTGACAGGACTGTCAGATATGATGGTGTCAGTGTTGTCAGGTTTTGAATGTGTTGGCGGGTTTGGAAAGTGCTCGCCAGACATGCGCGGTCGCGCGCGCGACAAGTGGTGCAACAAGGCGTTGTCGCATCACAGACGAACATTTTGCCAGAGTTCGAACTGACTCGGTCGCGGATTCGCCCGTGATTTATTCTCAAACAGTAAAACACGGCGAATCCGCGACCGAGTCAGTTCGAACTCTGGCAAAATGTTCGTCTGTGATGCGACTACGCCTTGTTGCACTACTTGTCGCGCGCGCGACCGCCCATGTCTGGCGAGCACTTTCCAAACCCGCCAACAACTTCAAAACTCCTCAACACTGACACCATCGTATCTAACAGTCCTGTCAGTCTACGAGCCAAGAAGGATTGTTGAATTGAACACGTGCCCAGCCCGGACCCGATTATTTTTTAAGTCGTCGTTATTTACAAAACTCAATCTCGACAGTCTCAAAAACCTCCTCCTTTTATCTTTTTAGTTCCACACGTGAGACGCCTTCCTTGCTCCTTCACCATCGCGCTTCTCCTTTACCCTATTTCGCACGTCAGGCATAGCTCTCGTCATTTTCTCTTGGGGTTATCTACAACATCCCGCCAGATAGATTTCGCTACGGGTCCGGAACCTGCGAAAGCTAGACGAATCACCGCGACGGTATGGAGACGTGTGGGGCAACCGGAACGTCTGATGCCCAGAGACGCGGCGCGGAGCAGCGAAGGCCCCTGGATGCGAGTAGAGCGCACGCTCTCGCGAAAACGCACCATAAGCTGCACAATGCCCCAGGCGCTCCCGCTCACACCGCTTGTCTAATGGGGATCCCGTGTCCAAAGCGCAACGACGTTCGTTGCGACACGACGGAGCATACGCCGCCTTCCCCGCTTGCGTACACAATCTCGGACGATTCATCACGTGAGTGCGCGTCGCGAATCCTCGCCCCTCAGCTCTGTACACACGCTTTTCACATTTTCTTGATCGTTGCCGAGGTTTTGTACGTGCATCGCAGAGGCTTAAACCCCCCGTATGTTTCCCACGTCACAGAGGAGGATTTGGCTGAGGTTGACTTGTGCTCGTCCGTGTGTTCCAGCTCCGACAAACTCTCCCCTCGTCGTGTGGAGGAGGGCCCAGACGGAGGTGTGGACGGCTTCGGGGCTCTCCTCAGCGCAGTAAAGAGAGCGTCCATCGAACGCTCTCAGGAGCTGGAGAGCACCCTAGACACGACCAACGTACGGGCGGCGATCGGGCCGGGCAGCGACTCGGATCCCAGGACTTGCGTCCGCCGCGGCAGGAGGGTGCGCGTTGGCAACGGCGCAACCAGCGGGGCGGTGGGAGCGGCAGGCAGAACCGACTACGGGGCGGGGGGTGCAGCAGACGCTGGCGCGACGGGAATGGCAGCCGGCGCCGCTGCTGCATGTGGGCGGGGTGCAGCTAGACGCTTTGCTCGTGTCCCGGCCACCTGGCCGGGATTGCGAAACGTTGTGCTAATGGCTAAGGTCGACGCTATCGTGGCTGAACTGAAGGACTTGCGTGCCGGTCTCGACGAGTTCTTGGTGATGCTCCCATATTTCAACGGCTTTGAGAACGCGGCAACATCGGACGGCGTCGACGCCGATGACGAGGATTGGAATGTGGTGGCCGATGACGCCGATGACGAGGATCGAAATGTGGTGGCCGATGACGCCGATGACGAGGGTCAGAATGTGGTGGCCGTGGTGGCCGATGACGAGGATCGGAATGTGGTGGCCGATGACGAGGATCGGAATGTGCTGGCCGATGACGAGGATCGGAATGTGGTGGCCAATGACGCCGTTTTTATCCCTTGGGGTTCGGGGTATGTATACAGCGAAACCAGGGTGGTGGATGCGGTCAGAGAGGCGATCCTGCGTGCGTGCTGCGAAGTCGCGCCACATATCCGGCCGTTCCTCGTCGCACACACAAGACCCACGGCTGAAGCGGTATCTGAAACAAGGAGCCTGGGTGGCGAGAAGCTCCCCAATCCGCCACCTCCATCCCCCTCCCCTCCATTAGAGGAGGGGGAGTGCAGCATCGGGACTGGGGAGTGCAGCAGCGAGCAGAAGGAGGGGGAGTGCAGCATCGGGACTGGGGAGTGCATCAACGAGCAGAAGGAGGGGGAGTGCAGCAGCGAGCAGGAGAGGGAGTGCAGCAGCGGGCAGAAGAAGGGGGGGTGCAGCAGCGAGCAGAAGGAGGGGGAGTGAAGCGGCGAGCAGAAGGAAGGGGGGTGCAGCGGCGAGCAGAAGGAGGGGGAGTGCAGCGGCGAGCAGGAGGAGGGGGGGTGCAGCAGCGAGCCGGCTCTGGAGAGTTGCAGGAAGCCGGCTCTGGAGAGGTGCGGAATGCCGAAGGTGCGGTTTGGAGTTGCCGGTGACCAGTAGCTGGATAGGGAGGTCTGCAGCAGGAGGAGACCGCGGTCTCGCAGCCTCGCAGCGATCCTCAACGCCACTGCTCCCGCTGCTCCCGCGGTACGAGGTGCCGTTGCTTTCACCACAGCTGCCACTGCTTGAAACAGGGCTACGGCGCTGCCGCACGGCGCGGCTGATCGGACCGGCCATGGCGACTAGGGAGAGCTGCGCCGTAGCGAAGAGATATGTTAAGAGAGTCTCGTAGTGGAATAGAAGAAACTAGGCTGCCTAGTAGAGACGTGATGATAGAGTTGTTGAGAGAAGAAGCAAGAAAGAGGTTCTTGGATTATAATAGAAGATCCTGATGATACAATTAAGAAACAATGAAGATATTTATGCTAGAAAGTAGGAAGGCGATTCGGATGGGAAATACCGTGTCGCCACGCGTCTAGCATGGCATCTTGGCATAGCGCCTCTGTTGGACTGTAGTACCTTCTAGTAGGTTGACAAGGATACGAGAGTATGCTCTGAGGTTGGCACATATCCCTATTCGGTAGCTTAACGATGTAGTGGGGAATCTCAACTTGTAACATAATTCCCCTCCCCAAAAAGCATCGTCCTGATACTTACCCATGCTAACTATCCACAGGTCAAATCCAGAGCATACAACAAGCATCCAAGCTTCATAGAGGTCTAAATCCGAAAATATTTACAAGATAACCTTGGTCTTCTCTTGGTCTTCACTCTTCTTGAAGCTTCAGGGATGTTTATGACACAAGTAGAGGGGGTACACATACAGCTGCAGCCCATACTACAGCCCTTGCGGTCACGCCAACTTCTATCCATTGGGTGGAAGACCCTATAAAGTCAATCCGTGTGCACAGTGTCAACCAAGCCCATGCCTTCACAGCTATGGCGCTTCTCATTGAGCACAACAACCCATATTAAGCTGCCTCAACGCTGGTGCCTTCAGCACGTCCAGCAATACCGCCAAATATGCCTAGATGGTAGGACCGAGGAGGTTTTATGTGGTGCTTCTACGACTGTTGTTGATGGTGTGACGGATATGCGCAACAAAAGCAACGCAGAGAAAATACATTTTTTCTTCTCTTGAGACAACAGAAGAGAGGGAGGGAGTCTTTTTGTCTAGTACTTCAACCCGGGGCTATGTCCTGGAGCTCATTACTCAGTTCGTAGTTAGCTATTTAGAGAAGAAATGGCTAACTATGAACTAAGTAATAAGCTTGGGAGTTTGACTCTTTGACTTACGTACTAGCAAAAGGCGCTTTCCCTCTCTCCCACTATCTTAAGAGAAGGAAACACTTAATTCCTCTACATTGATTTTGTTGGACATTTCTGTCACAACATCGCCAACGGTCGTAGATGCACCAAATGTAACCTCTTATCAACTAAACGGATCCACAACGCCGAGCCTACATCTAGAGAGGCGCTCAAGTTGTTCCACTCTTACCGATGAGGACAGCCAGTTGCATTGTAGAGGGCGCAGGCAAACGCGCTCTGCGCCAAGGGCCTGGCGGCCTTCGAGGCCGAGGCTCCCAGCCTTTCAGTTCGAGTCACTCGGGGCTGGTGATCTCCTACACGTGCTCGAGCCCGAGCTCGAGCTGTCTTAGGTTAGGTCCCTGCCATGCTTGTGTGCCTCACTGTCGTTCTTGACGTATCGTGCTGTAAAACCGGCTCTAATTAGTGAAGGACCATACGAGAGAGTACGCATGAGTGTGCAGGCATGTGATGCATGTATGAGAGAGAGAGGCAGAGGGTGAACATGGGCATGAGACATGAGGAGACTAGGGATGGGCATAAAACCGGGCTGGGCCCGGCCCGTGTCGGGCCGGCCCGGAATTGCCACGGGCCGGGCCCCAGATTTTGGGGTTAGACCCGTTGCGGGCCGGGCCGGAGGTAGCCCGACATTGGCCCGTCATTTTCGGGCAGGGCCGGGCCAGCCCGGGTCGAAGCGCGGCCCGAGTCGGGCTCGTAGGGCTAGGTTTTGACCCCCTCGACAAATTGTCGAGGTGGTTGAAAATGAGTTGCGTCCTAATTTCGCAGCTCATTTTCAATCGTACCCACAGTATGCCTCTACCGTTCCTTACCGCGACATATTTCGACCTGCACTTTCCCGATTTAGTAGCTTAGGACCCTACACGTCTAAACTAGCTCTAGCGGTTGACGTCATGGGCGACTAAGGCATTTGCGTAATAGTCGCGACAATTTCTAGTGGTGTTTGAGTCAATCGAAATCTGCCGCGCTTCACACTCGAACACTCCTTTTTAGGGTTTCTTTCCGCCCTTACGATTACATAGAAATTTGACCGTTGGAAATTGATAGTTACATTAGGTCTTCTTGAACATCTACGTCTAGGCTTCTTATTAGGGTTCGTCATAGCTTTTCCGTCAACCACTTCTGCAGAACAGAAAATCCAGTACGCATTCTCTACTAATTATTTTTCAACAACCCACAACTGGTAGTAACTTATGGCGCCTAAGAAAAATGTTCGGAAGGGAGCTGCGAAGCAAGCAACTGTCGATGGTGGACCGCTGTTCGCCGGATTAGGGAAGGGGCTAATCATGATTCCGCAGCAGGATGAAGGCTTCCAAGTTGAGGGACAGCTGCGGCAGGGGGTGCGAGTGACTGTAGGAGGCGGAGGGGTTGGAGGTGAAGGGGGGGACGGCGATGATGGTTCCTCATCATCTAGTTTTTCAAGTAGTGACTCTGGAGAGGGAAGCGAATCGGAGTACGAGGAGGAGGAGGGGGATGGCGCGAAGGATGACGAGGAAATGGAGGATGTGGAGGAGGAGGAGGAGGAGGAGGAGGAGGAGGAGGAGGAGGAGGAGGAGGAGGAGGAGGAGGAGGAGGAGGAGGAGGAGGAGGAGGAGGAGGAGGAGGAGTCTCTGAGGGCGGGGAAGGAGGGAACGCGTGGTGGTGCGGGGGGTGGGAAAAAGCGCAAGAGTACGAAGGGGGGTAGTGGGACGGGAGGGAAAGAGAAGGGGGACAAGGAAGCGGGCGGGGTGCGGGAGGGGCAAGTGAAAAAGAAGGGGAAGAAGAGGAAGGCCGTGGCAAAGACATGGGTTAAGTACACCGTTGTGAAGATGTTCGGCCCGGAGGATAAGAACGGGTCACGCAAGTGCAAGTGCTGCGACACATGGATCTCATTCAAGCAGAGCAGCACACACTCTGGGGTCGGCACTATAAAGGGCAGCACAACGCGCACTACGCCATTTGGAAGCGGTTGTATGAGGGTGGCCTCGTCCCTTCTGACGCTACATTCCCTGAGGGCGGTTACCGCGGGGTGCCCCACGGTCGCAAGCCCTGGCCTTATGCGGACGCGTACCCGAATGTCCCCCCTGAGGCTCTTGAGGGACAGGCACTTGGTGGCGGGGGGGGGCAGGGTACGATGGACCAGTTTATGGCGCCAAAGTTGGCGAAGAGGGAGTTGCAAGCCGCCATTGCGAAGTTCGTGGTGATGACCGACAGCTCCTTCCGCGTCGTCGACAATGACGCGGTAAGGATTGTCTAGTTCATTGTGCGCATGCTTGCCTTAAACAAGCTCATGGAGTATGTTGTATGTCAACACACTCTCCCCACACAACACGACCCACCCACCCACCCACCCCACCCACACCACGCCCCCACCAAATTCCTCATGTTGGCCTCTTGTGTCACCTCCTTACATTCGCTTCGCTATCCCGTCCCCCAGTTCAAAGAAATGCTCACATTGGCCAACCCTCTCTGCGGGAATCCAAATGTCCTTCCATCTCGCTGGACGGTTGCCCGTGACGTGACGAGGTACGCCGACATGGCACGGGCATTGGCCAAGGCCGAGCTGGAGCTGGCGGAGGAGGAGGTATTGCCATTGTTCAGGGTGTGCTTCACCACTGACATATGGTCGTCAGTGACGAAGCGCAGTTACATGGTCGTGACTGCGCACTGGATCTCGCCCGACTGGCAGCTGCGACAGGCCACCCTCGATTTCGGGGAGATGTCGGCGGGGCACACGGGGGCAGACATCGCGAAGCGGTTTGAGGAGGTGGTCAATGCATGGAGGTTGGTGGGGCGTTGTCATGGTATCACCACCGACAACGCCTCGAACAACGATTCGGCCATCAGGGAGCTGTCCGATGACGTTGCCCGCTTTCCACTCATTGCTAAGGACATGTGGTTCAGGTACGATGTGTACAGGCTTCTGCATGTGCTTCTCCATGTTTTGTTATGTGCATGGGAATGATAGCAATGGCAGCATTTGCATTGGCGTACGAGGCATGGGCATGCATGTGCATGGCCGCATGGGAATGCTTATGTACTCAACCTTGCCGAGTGTGTGGCCCGTACGTTCCACTCAGGTGCATGGCGCATGTACTGAACCTTGCAGTCCAGAAAGCGCTCGCTGTGGACACGGTTAAGGAGGCCCTGAAGCGCATCCGTGACATGGCCACATTCGTTGGCCTGTCACCTAAGCGCATGGCGCGCTTCAGGAAGGAGCTGAAGGATTCGTATCCTGCATTGCGGGACCTTAAGCTGGTGCTGGATTGCGATACTCGCTGGGGGTCCACTTTCGCCATGGTGGCACGTGCTCTTCGTCTTCGTCGGCCATTGACATCGCATTTCGCGAACGAGCAGGTTAGTGACACATATGAACTTGGGGGTTGTGTCAAGCACCGTGGCCACCACCAGTTCTTGCCTTCATTTCCTCAACCATACATGTGAAGTGCTCCATACTTGCATGCTTTCACAGCACCACAACCTTCCACCCCCCCAACCCCTTTCTCCATCCACCCCGACTTGCCTCTCTGCCATCCCTCTCCTTAACAACAGGGCACGACCAAGGAAGAGAAAGAGAAGTACGCATCTTTGCGCATGACGGATGATAACTGGGCGGCCCGGCCCGGCCCATGCTCATCCCTAGAGGAGACCTGCTGTCGCATCCTCGTGCCCATGTTCAACCTCTGTCTCTCTCTGTGTCTGACCTCTCCACCTCCCTTGATTCCACCAGATCCTAGTGACGTTGGTCTTTATAAGCACTCTCTCTTTGGTTCCATTCACACTCATGCTCTTCTTTCCCTCTACTTCTTTCCCTATCGCTCCTCTCCCTCTTCCCCTCTCTATCTACCAGATCCCAGTGTTACTGGTGTTTATAAGCACTCTCCCTCCGCTCGCATTCACGCTCATGCCCTTCTTCCCCCCTTGCCCTCTCCCTGTTTCTTCCCTCTCCCTGTTTCTTCCCTCTCCCTGTTTCTTCCCTCTCCATGTTATCTCCCTCTCCCAGTTTCTTCCGTCCCTGTTTCTTCCCTCTCCCCGCTTTCTCCCTCTCCCTGTTTCTTCCCTCTCCCTGTTTCCTCCCTCGCCTTGTTTCCCTCCGGCCCAACTCCTCTGAAATTTACCAGATTCTAGTGGCACTGGTATTATAATCACTCTCCCAGCTGTTGCTGAGACCCACTGGCCAGCATCGTGGGTGTTTGGTCACTTCGAGGTGCGATACAGCATCACAGGCATCCCCAACGGGGTGAGTCTCGTATTCTTGGAGGCTGGGGAGACGATGGAGCCGAGGGTTGTGCGACGAGTAAGCAGTTGGGCAGGAAGCGGCAAGGGGGACAAGAGGACAAGGGGGAAGCAGTGGCAAGGTGGAGGAAAGGAGGAGGAGGAAGAGAGGACGAGGAGACAGTCTGAGGGAGGTGAAGGACGAGAGGAGGCGGTGGCAGGGGCTGGCGTGTCAGCCGGTACGGCTCACCTCCATCCTACCAGCCTGAAGCCAGGCCAGCTGCTGGCTAGGCGCAGCACTGCTCAGGACAAGTCGGCTTGTCTCAGACGCTTGTTCATGGCTCTGCCTCTGAACTGGTGCTCGTAGTGAGTGTGGTTTATTGTGTCGAGAATTATGGTGCTTATTGCTTGAAAGCGTCCTTCATGTGATGCTGCGAATGCGTACCACTCCTTGCATTTTCACCTACCCCTTCCCCTCCCCTCCCCTTCCATTTTGGCGCTTCTCAATGGTGTGGCAGAAAGAATGTGAGCGTTCCTTCTTTGTGTGCAATGCCATCAGCTCCCCGTTCAGCAGTACACCTCTTTTTTCCTTGCTCCCTCCGCCAAACTCCCTTCCCTTTCCCACACCAACAGTACCCTGCCTTAGACCAGTCAAGTGGAGCCCATCTCATTGCTGCGTCACACAGGCGACAACATGGCAGACCATAGGATGCAGCAGCAGCAGCATCAGTGGTGGCAATGAAGGCGGTTAGCCGTGAGTGCATGGAGGAGGGCAGGAGCGAGGCATGGCAGGGCGGAATGAGGCAGTAGATGGAATGGATTCGAGAGTGTGATATTGTGTTATGCGTCGCAGTGGTGCATGCACGTCTTCAGGTGGCTGTGTTGTCCTGCACAACAGCGTCGCATGCCTCGCTTCAGATCAGAAGAATATGACGGTTCTCCTGCACTGCTACAGTATCATGTATCTTCACCACTGTCATCGCGCCTGTTCTCCTCCCATTTAAACGGATTATTAACTCACTTTATCCTACATACCTTCTTGAAAACAACTTGCTTACTATCAAACCACCTCCATCTATCCCCCTTCTTCCTGTATCTCCTAATCTCCCCCTCATCACCCCCAACCCCCCTCTACCCCAAACAACCCCAACTCCCTTCTGCTTTCTGAACCCAATAACACACCTCGCGCGCTTTCCGAGCCCCCTTCACCCCCATCCGGCCCGACATCCCCCCCAATTCCAGCCAAGCATTAGCAACATAGCGTTCGCATTTGCAAACAAACTCCTCCCCTCCTTTCAGCATCACCTGCACCAGTACCGGCTGCTGTCACCACATTCCCCCTTCTTGTCTCAACCCCCCTCCTCGTCTCACTGCCCATCCTCGCCTCACCCCCTCTACTCCTCTCATTCTCATTCTCATTCTCTCACCCCCCGTCCTCGTCTCCCTCCCCCTCCTTATCTCACTCCCCCCCTCTCCTCTGCTCCCGTCTCTCCATGTAAACCCTCCCCCATCCGTCCCCCCACCACACATGCCTCCCTTTTCTTCTTGGAGGTTGGTTGATTGCGGTAGCAGAATGGGGCCACATGCACTTCAATCGACATGGCATGGAGGGAGGTGAGGTGATGGTGGAGAGGTCACAACAAGAATGGCTGGTTTTGGGATAATCATCATACTAAGGTCTTCAGCTTATGTTGGGGGTATTTCACATGCGATCTACATGAGCGGTCGTATATGTGTGCGTTTATTTGCGGGACAGTTGTGCAAGCACACCTTATCCCACACTGCATTCCCAGAACGCATCTTAGTGCTTATCTCATACCTACCGCGCACTCATGGCTTCCCGTCTCTCACGCCATTTACCCTGTCTAATGCTGAAGAGATCTCGTGGGCATTGTTAAGCCCATCGATGTATTGTGATGTGTGATGGCACACAATGACCTGAGGTGAGGAAGGGTAGGCCGTTTGCATCACTTGTTTTTTTCAGGTGTGATGCAGGTCTTCCTCTCATGGACACGCCACTCAGATTCACTTCTCCCATTTGCAGGAATTTAACTCCTCTCCCTTACCTCCAAGATGCCTGACATCCGCCCTCCTCGATCTCTCACCTGTTCGCCTTCATAGTGATTCCCTCCAAGGTCGCACGTCTCCCTACTGCTAGGCTTGCTGTGACGTCTCCAAACGACTTCACGTCACCCTCACATAGCACCGCTCCTGTCCGCTCTTGTAACTCTTGTGTGCCTCCTCTTCGTGGTCGCCCTTCACCTTCAGTTCGCCCCTGGCAGAAAAACACTTTCCAGGCAAAGTCAAACCCTCCACCCAACCTCGTTGGAATTTATCCTCGTCCACCCGTGACGCACTGCACATGTATCTGATCTGAGATGCTCCACTCCACGACCTTGCTGTCAAACCCCTGTTCATCCACCACTTCCTTGGTGGAGTTCACACACTGTCCTTTGTGTTTCCCTCTCAGCCCACTCGCCCAGCCTCCACCACCCACTATTACAGCAAATGAGAAGCTGCTGCCTGCTGCCATTCACAGCAAGCTGCTAGGGAGGAGCGGTGTGAGACAATGAGGGGCAAGGGGTGATTTTGTGGCGGAAATATGGCAATATTCTGCAAGCAGGGATGCCTGGACGCAGCAGCATATGTCACATCTCCACTCCCCGTCTCCCATGCAACCACAGACCCTCTTCTTCTCCCTGCTTCACCTCTGCCCTCCGTCCTATGCAACCAGTCCAGCCAACAGAATGCACTCGAAACCTCCTATAGCAAGCCGGTTCCACTCATGTGGACCACCATTGATCAGGGACATTCACTATGAATGAAGTGCTAATACAATACATGGATAGATGTAAGGTATATTTTGAAAGTCATGTCACATGGTCCCTTCCGATGTTAATGGAGGGATTTTTTTGCTACATTACCAGTTGTGCTAATTTGGACAAGAACATGAGTGCACACTGTCACAAACTCTACACACTACACCCTCAGTTTCCGTTTCCCAATCACGTGGATGGACCCTATGCAATATATAGCCCCAGGGCAACCTACTAAAATTAAGCGCACCACTATTCTATGCATCACTCCTCCGCATGCATGGCCCCCCCCATTCTTCACTCCCCTTATCTACACGTCTCCTCAGTGTCCCCTAGACAGTCACAGTAAACCCGTGTCACATTACCAAACCAACCTATACGCCGACGCACATCATCATTATGCAGATGAGTCCCTTCTGGCGCCCAGAGAGAAATAAGCTTGGTCAGGCCAATCAGCTGCCGCAGCCCGTCATCTGTGACTGCCGTGCCATTCAGACAAAGGATTTCAAGCCCTGTTAGCAACCCCACATGTACCATGCCTGAACTGGTCACACCCTTGCATTCGGAAAGCCACAGCAATTTGAGAGAGGAGAGACCAATCAAGTGTGGCAGACCAGCATCGGTCACCTTGGTGCTCCAGAGATTAAGGTGTCTGAGACTGGTCAAGGACGCAATGCCATCCAAGCCACTGTCTGAGACGACTGTAGATTTAAGGTCTAGCATTTCCAGCCGCTGCAGCCTATAGAGGTGCTTGATGCCCTCTGCACTGAAGCCCGAGCTAGAGTTCAGGTCAACGCTTGTCAGGTGGGTCATCGTGGACACATGGCCGAGCATGGCGTCTGAGAGGCCGTGGAGATTCTTCAGGACCAAATTGGGTTTCTGTGATGCTCGTTTGATTGCCTGGTGTTAATTAGTGAAGTGGGTAAGCATGCGAACGGGAGAGATGATCATTAGATTACGTGAAACAGCGCATGCACATAGCACTCACCTGCCATGCAATGTTTTGATCACCTTCACTCTGCCAGGGATAGCTACGGAGACAGGAGATATAAAGCATGCATGCTCGCGAAGCACTTACCGCCAATGCTTTCTTTCGATCACCTTCACTCTGCCTGATTTCCAGCCGAATATTCAACTTCCGATTTTGTGTCCCCCACTGTTCCTTGCAGGCTGCCAGTTCTTCCATGCCACGTGGCAAATTCAACTCCTGCACCTCCATCCTCCTCTGGTCCTCCCTTGCACACTCCGCTGGCATTTCGTGCATTCTCTTTCTACTCGTCCCTCCTACATCCAATGCCCTACTACTCTCAGCCCATTGCTCTGGCATAGTGCCCTTGTGTTCTGCCAACTCTTTTTTCACCGCTGCCAATTCCCCCTGCACTGCTGTCAGCATGCTCCGCAACTCATCCACCTCCTCCTTGTGTGCAGCCAGCTCCTCTCTCACTGCTGCCAGCACCGCCTCTTGAACTATGTCATTCAGTGCACTCATCATTCTCTCAGTAGCCATACGCTCCTCTGACTCTCCTTCAATGGCTTTTCTTCAATGACTGATCCTGGCATTCAACCGCCTCCCGCACTGCAGCCTGACGAAGTAGAGAAGGGCTGGGAACGGTAGGGTGGGGTCGGGTCGGGTGCAAAGAGGAAGATGGTGATTGATGCACACACAAAGGAAAACACTCGCATGCGCATGAGGGACGAGGCATAATGTGACTAGGTGGAGACGAGATGAGGAGACGTTGGGAGAAAAATATTCACAGAGGGGTGGCACAGAGAGGGGTGGCACAGAGAGGGGTGGTACACAGAGGGCTGGTGTGTGGTCAACATGGGGTGGCTCGAGAGTCACAAGGCTGGGTCGAGCCCGCCGGCTTGCCCACAGCCTCCTCCGTTCGGGCATTAGATTCGAACCACATCCCAGACACGCACACACTTTGGCTCGCAGCAAGTCTGGCTCGGCTCGGCCATGGCTCACGCGTAGAGCCAAAGTCGATCCAGGCCCACTATTACACAAAGCGACATGCAGCGGGTAACGGCGAGCCTGGATCTCCTCGGGGCATTTCTCATGCACGCATAGAGCACACCA